CGTTTGAAAACCATCTTGCGGTTTTTCCCGTTGTATGATACTATAGAACAGGCTGTGGCAGCTTGCATCTGGTAGCTACCAGGTAGATCCGTGATTCCAGAAGCAACTCCAAAAAAGCTCCCACAAGAAGCCAAATACTTTCCCCTCCCCCTCCAACTCTCATTCTATCTCTGTATCTGGCTCTTGAATACAATTGACATCTCTTAGTGCCCCCCTCTCCTTGGATACGAATATCAAGTTTCATCCTCGGCAAAGTGTAAGCGGGAGGAGGGGGTGTCGGAGTTGACGTGTCAAAGCCAAAGGAATGCATTCTCCGAAACCCTGCACTTTTCTTCGAGGGGGATTGGCTCCATTGCACCTGCCCATGGCTAGACGGAACCGACATGAACCACATAGCCATATGACATCGCCATTGATACTTTCATAAAAGGGTGAAACTTTTGTACAAGAGAGGGGGTGGTCAGTATTCGGCCGAAGCCTGCTGCCCCTCTACCTTCCTCGCAAGTTAGAAGTCCTGCGCGTGCCTGCATAAGGGGTTATGTGTGAGTGCGTGTGTGCGCGTGTACCGGGGAGCGAAAAAGGCACGCAATCAACGGAGAAACGTCGCGTTCGTTTCCCCCCCCCCCCCTTCTAGGCACTAGTCTGACCAGGAGGCTATCCAAATCGAGAACCAGAAGTATGAAGCTTCTAGCATTTGACAAGAACTTGCCAATGAGGCCAGGTTGGGGCCCCTGGACGCGGGGGGAAGGTCAAGATAAATTGTTAGAAGCAATACCAGAGTATACCGTATGTTGTGTGATGGATGTAGCACTACTAGTACTTGTTGCGGTACGTAGTATAGGTCCAAAGAGCAAATGCACGACATGTAGTATGATAACGATCAACGATCAAGTTCGAGCGTGATGCCATCGATGCAATGCAATGGCATTCCATGAGCATGAGTCGTATAATCAGAGACAACTCGGATATACCCGGTTCACAGAGCTTAACCACTAGTGTCATAATGTCAGCCGATCTGCACGTGTATTGTAGCCAAAAAAAAAAAACCCAGTACTGATAGAAAGATAACCGATAAGCTAGGGTGCGATGGTTGTGTGTGACGCGTCCTCGTGGTCAGATTGGATAGGTCTCGGGCGGGGTCGGTCAGTCGGTCGGTCGGTCAGTCGGTCAGTCAGTCACTTGGCGAAGCACAGCACAGCCGATCACGTATCGGAGGTTGTAGAACCAGGGGCGGGATTGCACAAGAACCCTTACTTTGAACCCCAACTTCTTCGATGTTATCGATGAAGTCATAGTAGGGACATACACGACGCAAGCGTTCGCTTCTTTGCGTACTACTACTACCACGGCGCGTGTGACCGGTTTCAGCCCATGGGAAATGAAAACGATAACGTAGTTGGTTTTTTTTTTTTTTGCTTTTCGTCGGGAGAGGAAAGAAAGCAAAAGGGAGGTGTGGAAACTGGCACTGATTTTCAGCTTTCCGCTGTACCAAGAGTGCTAATATTCGCCTCGTCTCGCAGGCGGCTGATGGGCTGATGGTGGAACCACTGTATTGTTGCACTAGTGTGGGAAGTGCAAGGACGGTTACGTATGAACGCGAATAGAGTCCGTGCAGTTGGTCCGAGTTGCAAATGCAGAAAAGTTGTATTACCTGGCGCGTCGCTAGCTCGACGGACGTCCACACATACGGAGATACAGATGAACATTGCCAGATCAAGAACCACAAACCAGGCAATCTCCGTCTGGAGCTGGAGATGAAGATAGATATGGTGAATCCACGGGATCACAGGACATGTGAATTCCTCGAGCGCTCGTCAGATCAAAAGTCCTTTTCCCGCAACAAGCCGTCCGGGCCCCCACCGCAGCCCTCCGATTGTAAATGTGAATCGCTAGAGTTGTATGTATGGCGCCATAGCCGTCGGAGGCTAGCGATACGGCTCAACTACAGTGGAAACAATAGATGGCGTATGACCACTGTAACATGATCAATGCATTCCTGGAAGTGGTCGATCACCTTCCCAAGCGAGACGAGAACAAGGTGATGCCGCCAAGTCCAACCAGATCAGAATCCTAGATCCAGCAGCAGGGTACAAGCACCCTAACCCGTTCAAGTCATGCGTCAATATCTATGGCTGCCCCTCTGCAGCTCAAGAAAAATAGCTCATCGGAGATGGCTTATATCCACCTGCAATTGCCTCTATCCAAAAATGTCACTCCACAATCCGTTGGAGCCGAGGCGGTTAAACGAGTTCCAACGTTGCCGGTAGTACAATAAAAGGCAATCACATTGCACGGCTAAACTCCAAAAAGAGGTAGATATTCATATCGGCCTCTTTTTCTCCTTACGGCTTTCGCAAGGATAGACAAATATAGGTGGTGCCGCATTGCATTTTGATGCGCAAGCAACTTTGCCTGCAAGCGAGTTAGAGGGGGTAACGTGAAGACTAGTGCCCAACATGTGCCTGGCACTCGCTTCCCGTTGAGTGAATCCAAAACGATGGCTGAAATTAAAACGAAATGAAACGCGAGAGCGGAAGAAGGAGAGTAACATGGAGTTCAAACGAGGTGAGAAATGGAATTCGAAGAGAGAAAGAAAGCACGAATAACTGGAAAAGGATCATGGAGAGCACAAGAGGACGCACGCACACATATAGCAAAAGGAGCGCGGATCTGGACACGTCACGCGACGAGGAGAATCACTCATTTCAACCACATCCTATTATTGCTCTAGTCGATCACAATCGCAAGTTCTCAAGAAAGTAGCGAGCCGTAAATATTGTCAACTTGGGACTCGTCACGGGACTGGTGCATTGATTGTATTGCGGAAATGACCGTGAGGAGATTTGGCATGAATTTGAAACTAATGTATGTATGTAGCTGATTTCATTTGAGGGCTTGCACAAAATTGGCAAAGGTTGACACGCACGGTTGAGCCATGACCTCAAGATGCAAGCTTGTGCTTTGGACTTGTTCTTCAACAGTTAGGGGCTTTTTTCTCCTCACACCCGTGCGGTAGGGCAAACAGACAAAGAAAGACGCCACAGAACAGCAAAGTCTAGACCATTTAGTCGACCATTGATAAAAATGCTAGTGAGCGAAGCAAGAATGCGGACGAATTCGAACCGCTGCACGAAGCTTAAGGCAATGGGGTCTTCCTTTCCTTGTTCAGCCCTCTCTCCAATCAGTCTGTGGCTATCTCCGCGCAGGGGGGGCAGCCCCCTCCTCTCCAATCCAACGTTGGAGCTGAGCTTTAATTCTACGTGGTTCTCGGGTAACGTCAGCGTCCCTGTGGGGAAGCCCAAAGCCGAAAGAGGGCTCTCGAGCAACCGTTCAACGACCCTAACTACGCGCCCTACTCTAGGTCCCTAACCCTGACCCGCGCGGGCGAGCTAAAAAAACTGGGAGTTAGTCACGTAATGTTGCCTCGTGTATGTCTGATGTAGTCTGACTGTTATGGATGGAAGGGGGCCAATCACATTGGATCGGCACCGATTTCGCCATCCTTATCCTTATCATCATCGCCTATCGCGCGTAGCGTTCCACGATAGCTAGAAAGCAGGACGTTGATTGTTGACGCAATCTTATGTACAACGTTTTTTTGTCGCAACGGACCCGATCTTCCCCAACGAAACTGATGAACACGCACGATGATCAGCCCCATTCACATAATTTGTCAGAACTCGAACGCAATGACACACCCCAAGTTCAACTCCTCGGAATGGGGTCCTGTCACCATCTCGTGCCCCCCCAAATCCAACCCCGCAATCAGACACAAAAGATCGGCGTGATCATTCGGTCGCAACCCCTGACGTCCGCACGGAGGCACAGATGGAAAGGTCATGACCCGTCGGAAAAAGGGGCTTAGACCTCTTCGTGTTATCCTGTTGGACATGTGCCGCGGCACCCTTAAGTCCCAGGATACTGCTTCCTGACCCTCGGCCCTAACCGTGCGCGCCTACGTTGGATTGTCAAATCACTGATACATAAAAGAGACCCATCGCCAAACCCCAAATGGGGAACCATCTTGACACCGGTCCCCCCCCCCCCTTCATCCATGATATTGTGTTGCAGTGCAACCGCACTTTACGTCGGAATTCCGCCTCCATTGCCGTTCCTTTGCAACAGCCACACTTTTATTCCCTCACTTCCAAATGCGGTCCCCCCAGCTGTGCCTCAAACGACGTGTATATATATAATGTATATAATTTAATTCGAATGATCTCCGTCCGATTATGGATTCCCGATCGGCATATTCACTGGCTGTGTGCTTAGGCTGTTAGTTGTGCAATTGTGTATAAGAAATACAAGGCCTCATACAAGAAGAATATTGCTAAGAGTAATGCGGTAAAAAATTCGGTCACATACACATAGTGCAAATCATATTGTAATTAAAATTTTATTATCGCTGGTTTGCTCGGTACTCGTTTAATGAAGACAGCCGGCAGCTTTATAACACATCATGCCATATCTATCATGAATGCATAGCTTGCGCTTATCAGATCTGGATCGGACAGGACAGGAAAGATATTTTACGGCAGGCCAACTCAATTTTCTGGCTTTTTAATTTCCTCACTTGGTATAGTTGTTCACAGAACATACCCAGTGTCAGCACGTGCGGCGTTTCTGATGAGGTCCTCTAAACTCGTGGAGTTTCCTTGTCGATACTAGTATACTATCGGCGCTATTAGTATTACGGACATGCCCCGTGGAGTCAACCTGGAATATTACGTAGTCATTCTGCTTAGGCCTGCCCTAAGCAAAATGATGCTGACTTTCTGGATGATCAGAGTAGTGTATACAATAAGTACCCTCGCACTATGCATGGTCAGTCATGATCCACCCATTGCGGCGTGTTGTAACTCAAGGGCCAGGGGGTGGCCAGCCACAGGCTAATTTGCACGTATCATGGCTACAGATCAACTCCGTTACTCTTCCTGATAACTGGCTGATTGTCCCCTCCCTACAGGCTAGTTCTATCAATATGTACTGGGATCCAGATCCAGGCACGTACAGTGATGGACGTAAAACGTGGTTCATCTATTCGGGTGTTTTCCCCACATTCATAGATCCTAGTATTTTTGGCTACCGGGGAAGGTACTCTTGAATTGTGTCCAATGGTGTGTTGGCCGATCGGAGAAGTGGCGCGGCCCTGGGCGGTTATATGCCTCGAGTGTCGAACCGACACCGCTTATGCCTATGTGGCACATTGACGTTCTATATTACGTACACCACGGGTCTGCAAGCGCCGGCTAATGATCGAGTTGCAATTCATGCATTCTGGGACCTCTTTTTGGGCTCTGTCACGCGTGCTGTGTAGTACCTAGCTTCCCATTCTGTCGTGCAGACTGTAGAAATCAACCCTTCTGAATGTCACGCTAAACACAGTGAATAACGCGACGAGGCTCATGAGTTGACATGCGACACAGTCTCAAACAAAATACAACAAATCGATGTATGACTTCACACGCTCATCGAGCGTCAATTTGCATGACAATATTATACCGTCGGGTTACATGCACGGTTCGGATCTTGCAGATATTAAAACGAGCGCGCGCAGTACCTTATTGCCTTCGCATATCATATGCAGCGATTCGACGCGGGGTACACGTACACGCGAATTATGGCCTTGTTGTGTTTTTGCATGTCCTAGTATAATCTATTGGAGCACATGTGATGTACCCGCATGATCAACAACAGCTTGAGCCTGGGTTCGAACGAACAGGGGGATGGCCTGAGAGCTGTACGACATGTTTTTGGGAATTGAGGTCTAAGTTCGCATTTGCAGGACGGGTAGCTTTTTACTATAAAGAGTCTCCATCCCAACTGAGCCACGTTTGCTGAGCAATTTTTCCCAACACATGACCTACTCGATACATTCAGAATGGGTATAATGTTGCTTTATTTGCGTGATGATGATGATGGGCGCCAGTGCGCGGGCACGAGAAAATTATAGAGTATTATTATTATTTTTTTTTTTGGAGGGGAGCTTTACAGCGCCTTATCAATGTTTAAAAATCCAATTGAAAATACTGCCGCCCCAACACCCTTCAAAGCTGTGTGCGTGGGATACGGTCCGGCTGTCCTGATGTTGTTGTTGATCCATCTTATCATGTACAACTTAAATTTCCAAGGAGTACAGCTGGGTCCGGACATAGGGCTCGTTCCGGGGGGCGAGAAAAAAAGAGTTCAAAATAATCTCCTAAAATTAAATTTGATTCCGTATGACCGTCCCGGCCACGGATGGGCGGAAGGACGGAATTTAGAGTTCATATCAAGCTATTACAACAGATGGGCAGGCAGTTGAACCAACCCACGCGAACGCGTTGCCAACACCTGCATATATACACAAATTGGAATTACGCGACGTAGACGGCAGTCCAAAAAATATGAAAATAATAATATTCCCAGTCCACCAAGCGAATCCACCACCACGGCCCACTCTTCCCCTCCCCCTCGAACGTGCTTAATTGGTTTTTTTGGTTTATGTGTTATCATTACCTTCTCTGGGCGGACGGCGCGAGCATTGTTCTGGGGCTAGGCATGCTGATTTGACCAATCTCTGGGCATAGGGCGAACATTCATTGACGTAATGTGCGAACAGTTGGGCAGTTCTCGCCCCGAAAACCTCTACTTCGATTCTTGCGATCCTACATTCCTTTGCAATACACACACACCAGCTTTTTTTTTTGGCTTATAAGCACAGACACAATTCGAGCGACTCTCCTGCCACGTTGTGCATACAAGCTATGGCGAATCACCAATATCATTTACATACAATCACCGCACATTCCCATGATGTTCGTCCCTCCCCAGAAAGCCTCCCCCACGCACCACACCCAACCTCGTCCGGTTGGCCACGAATATTTGTTCCCTCCCTCTTCGCACATATGGGGAGGCGTGAGGATAAGGATTGATCGGTTAGGATCCCCAACTCGTGGTGCGACGGGTGAGAATGGACAAATGAGCGTCATAACCAGCTGGCCCTTGCCCAGTAAGTGGTTCTAATCTGGGAACCTATGTAGTGCTCATGGATGAAAAGTCGGATTCGCATATGCATCGTGCGAATTCTTGCCTTCCGCCGACGCGGCAGTACCCGCCAAGTCCCAGATCTAGGAGCTGTGTAGAATGTGTGGAGGAAAAGTCGAGGAGAAACAAAAGATTGCCGCACAAAATGCAGAGATACATATGCTATCCAACACGATATAGCCAGCCAGATCTAGTCAACCCGAAGGCATCGCTCGTTGTATCGAGGTAAGATCTCCATAAAATCTGATCAGCCCCAGCCCCAGTTGGGGCACAAAGCAAGGCGAATATCTTACTGACAAGGTTAGAGACGCAACCTCGTCTTGGATACCTGTGCTTATTACGCGGATCAAAATATATATATGCGACGTAATTTCCGGCGGTTGTGATGACAGATTCGGACCTCGCTTAACGTCGAGTTGGGCCTGGGAATTTGCAAAATAAATATCTCGGTCCGTCTGTGCTCCAGGCACTTGACCTCCAGGCGCTCGTCTAAACGCCATACACGACGTCAGCCATCATGAAAGCAAGTTGGATAAGCTAGGCTCGATTCAGATACAATGAACGAACATGAAGTGACTCCGCCGGATCGGAGTAAAAGACAGTTGGGAAGCATTGCCAAGCAAGCTGTCAGTTGATTGGGTGTTCGCACGACGCGGCTCGCTTCAGGCCGATGGCATATCTGGTTGTTCGTCACGATAACGTGGGAACCAACGGACCCAACACCGCACGTTCACAACACGCGCGCGATACGAAGCTATCTTAATTCAATAATACAGTATGTCATTTCTCGCCTTATCTTTCTCTCAAACCTTTTTCGTCTTCGTGGATCCACAAGTGCAACGTTCGACCAGTTGAACTAGGCGAGGTTGGAAATTGTGCATGGATCCTTGCAACCTCAAAAAGTCCTTCTCTAGCACACACTGCGAATCGTCGTGATCATCGTCAAAAAGGAATAACTTTCCCGGGCTGCGGAAGTATGCGAGGACACAGAGAAGTGGATATTTTGTGCTGATTGGTCGTTCGAAATCATCGAGGTCCGGAACGGCGGAGAAGCGGACCGTGCACAGGCTGTGGAGTGGGTGTGGCCGTGCGGAGGCGTTCGTGGGTGTTGGGTTTGGATGGTTGGGGGGGATCCAAAGACCCGGAATGGGAAGTTGGGAATTACCCTATGTATATGTGGGGGAAGGTAAACAGAGTAAGAAAAATCAGTGGCAGCCGTGATCACAAGCCATCGTGGCGGGAGCAAACATAACGCCCGCGGCTGATGGTTGGCGCCATCCTATCGGCCTCACAGTTGCGTGCACGTAGCAGAAAACTCTCATGAGAACGTTTCATCTGACAAATTCGAAAAAGACGGCAGTTCACACGTGCATACCTGCGGCCCCGCTCGCGTGTTGTACAAAACCGTGTGATTGGCGCTGGGTGGTGAGGGGGGAGGGGGGGCCTGATGAACAACACAACTAGGTTGCTTGCAGGAGCGTGGGGCGGTAGAAATCCAATTGTGTGGCGCGCTTGGAATGTGAAATATCTGTCTGTTGAGACATGGATGGCTAGCTCTAAGCCGGCAGGGATTATGCATGGGGTGCGATGGTGTCTGAGGGCTTGACAGCGCATCGTGGCTACAATGTTGAGGGTGTTTCAGTGAGGGTGTTTCCCAATTGGTTGAAAAAGGCACCACAACGGCAGCCGGCGCCGAAGTTCGAGACGCGCGTCAATCTCGATCGGTCTTGCAGGATGTGTGAATTGACTAGTGTGATATATGGATATTGGTACACACGTGTTCCGCTCTCATTTACCCGAAACAAAAGGCCCAAATGTATTGCAATGGCTGATTACCAGTAAGGGGAGTCTAGTTCGTTGCGTGGTCTCTGTCCGACCGATCGCGAGCGGTCCGTTGATCTGGACGGGGTTGTTTCTTGGAAGAGGGGTGTGTTCGGGACATCCGGCATAGGGCGCCGATGCACCCGGGCGGGGAAAGGAGTTGTGCAACATCCATTAATGTTGGATGAAATGATATGATATGCACAATGATGATTTCTCTATCCTAACCTCCTTGTTGAGGGGAGGGGTTTGATGCAAGGGACGCGAAGAACGCTTGCCATTGCAGATCCAAACTTTGGTCATATAAGTAAGGTTGTTTGCATGGAAGTAAGGTTGCAGGGATTAGGATCGGATTCGATATTTAAGTCCACTGATGGGTTGTTGATTGAGCGGGATCTGCAAATTGAAGTTGAAGAGTTTTTCGGAGTGGCGACCGCGTCGATCACCGCTCAGGGTGGTTCGCATGTGGATTTCAAAGCTACTGGGTTGTAGTACTGGGTGCGAGGGAAATAGATGAAGCTGGAGCTTCGCTGACGGATGGTCAGGCCGACATGAAGACGAAACGGGACAAAAGTAGCGTTTGAAACAATATGCGTGTCAAGAATGAGCATGAGTGTTTATTTGAGATTTAAGTACTACTTGATGGGGACTAGAGTGGAATGGAATGTCCGGTTGGATTGGGAGCGAGAGAAGCGAAAATGGTGTTGCACTAGCGCAACTCGTTATCAGTACAGTATTAGGAGAGAGGCGCGCGATCAGTGGCTAGACGGGCATCGCGTGCGATCCGATGGTACCGCCCTGTTGATCATGTGAATGTCTAAGGGTAGAGAGGTAGCGAGGGCGACCCGGGCCTGATATGTTTAACAACCTGTTCTGTCATGTCCGTCGAGCTTCGGGGGCGTCAAGTTCCACACAGCACAGCCAGCAAATCGAGGGTGTGGCTCAAGGCGGAGATCGACAACAAGTCATTTCGTAATTCAACGGGAGCCCCGCCTCGTCGGTCCGACGTCCGTCCCTTTGTCGGACCTCAAACAGGTCACCTGCCTCTCAAAGTTGCCCCCCCCCCAACGAACTGTGTTCATCCCACAAGCATCGTGACACAAACAAATTGGAGATCCCACAGTTTACTTGACATTGCAAAGCTGGACGGCAAACGTTGGGGTGGCAGGGCTATTGGCAACGAGGATTTTGGAAAGGGGTGGTTTGAAATGGACAAATGAATTCAATTTGGCCAATCATATTACCAGCCTTATATAGCAATGCATGGCGGTATTTTTTTACATTGCAGTTGCGCAACTGCTTTGCGGAGCTCAATTTTAGAGAATTTGATTTTGTTTGAGTCAATTCAGGATGGAAAGTTGGGAACCCCGTGGAAATAATTAGTATTGTGTGATTTAAATTCAAGGTCCTAAATGGAAATGGATTGTATTGAGTTCGACCCTGCATAATTCAGATGTTGGTTGTGGATTCTTTGTGTTTGTTGATGATGGTGTGCATGGTGTGTGAACGGATTTGGGGTGGAATAACCTAACGAAAACGTTTTGGGGGTGAAACGGGGACAGTGAGGGGACGTGCTAGATGGCAAATAATGTATGTAATGTAGCGGGGGCCGCGTGGGACGGGAGTAAATTTCTAGTGATCGGGACGGATTGAGGTTTTAGAGTTCGATTGTTAAAATATACTCGGGCTTTTTTGAGTCAATGTAATGCATGTGCTCGTGCACATGGTTGGGGTAAAAAACGGTAAAGCAAACTACACTTGTGCAGTGGCGACATGGTTTGTGTGGCCCTGGGAGATGGGAATCGCCAATCGTTGTTGAGGGGGGAAACTAAACAAAATGATGGTGGAACTCGCATTTCCCAAGCAAATGCATACATGTGTAGGTATCGCGAAAGCTAATGGGGTTCCACCAAGAAAAAAAAACCAAAGAAAGAAAGAAAGCGAAGACGCAATTGGGTAATTCAAGTCATAATCATGTACTAGTGGATTGATGGAGGTAGCTGCGGGTGCATCGTAGCACAACGAGGAAGAGGATCGATTCCCGCGGTCGTGCACTGGCTCTCTTCGGTTCGCATGCACGTGTACAAACACTCAAATACTTCTGCCGATCGAGCTCATTGGGGGGGGTTCAACTCTATGAATGGGACATTTGTTGTACGAAGCGCGGTAGGAGTGGCAAATGTTATGATGATCGGTGTACGCCTGTCAAGAAACACGCGGAGTATAGTACAAGTGAACGAAAGAAGAAAGGGGGGGGGGGAGGGAGGATCTTCTGCATCACATGCAGTACAATGCTCCGAACGATCATCCTGTTGCATTGTGTTACCCGGCTGGGCCAACTAGCTGGTTAATGGAAGTGGCTGGTCCAGGAGTGAGTGTAGATCGCTCATTCCGCCGGATGAATGCATACCGCCGGTCATTAGACAGTAGAGCAAATGGACTGAGATGTATTGGCGGCCATCAGCCGGTGATCGTCAGACAATGGGCATGATAGCAACACTATCGATGTGAGTACCTTCCGAAATGTATGGCGTGATACCCCTTAGCGTAATGACTGAGGGGCTTCGAATCTTCCTGCAACGAAGACGATGTATAGTGGATGAGGAAACAAAGAAAAACCGCGCAAATGAGGTACATGTATGGGTTGTTGGCAATCGCCAGTTGGTTGGTTCGCCGTTGATGATGGCAGTTTGAAATGAAAGCCGTTTTTCGTCATGAAGGAACTTGGCAAGTGGGCACCATCAGCGGGTGCTCAGCGTATGATGGAATAGTGCGCGTGGTGAGACTGTAGTGAGCGCTACGCTCCTCGTGATCACCGAATCGTAATTGCCGGTATAGGAGTTTGCTGGCTTATTGCACATGATGAATAAGCTGAACCTTTGCTCGGTAAGCTGAGGTGGTGCAGGTATGCGGGAAGGGGGCATTCGAGGGCGTCAGCGTGATGGACGTTGGAGACAACAGCAGGAATCTTCGTAGCGGTACAGAGGTGGGGGGACACGCAAGTGGGGTGGAATCAATAAGGAGTTGGGCGCAGCTTCCTTTCCGAGAATGGCATGGCCACCTCCACTTTCCACTTCTGTCCACCAGGTGTTTACCGGGACCCTGAACCACAATCTGGGAGGACACCAACCTCTCTGGGCTAGAAACTGTCGCCTACTGGCTTTGATCCACGTCTCAGCGGGGGTACATCCATGGTACTTCGGGGGGATCACTCCCAGTGACCGATCACGTCTGCCGATGAGCGGCAATGTATATCCGAATCCGCGTGTCTTGACAATTAGGGAATCTTGCCCGTTGTTGATGTGAACGCCCTCTTCCGACTCGCATCGTTTGGCTGGCGCTCAATCGTTACATGTTGGGTTGCGTCAGCCGTGGTTGCTCTCAGTTTGGATGGGATCTTGCGGTATATGGGCGTGTATGAACTGTGGGGAGACGGTAATGTCCGCTTGGATTAGCGAGTTTTGTTACCCGAGCGTGGCTGCTGTTGGCAGAGCAAAAGTAAGCGAAACATCATTGACATCTGTCTAGCAATATGGCTTGCGAGCACGGTGTTTTGGGTACTGTGATGCTGTGGGACGGTTGTGTAGGCCGTTACTGTGAGTGTCCCACTTGGTTACGGAGGATAGGTGCTTGTCAATGATGCAACGATGATTTGAACGTTGACGAAACATGGGTTTCCGCGAAAGAGTCAATTGCGGCTCTCGTGAAGTGGGATCCAGCCCTGTCCTTCTAGACTTCGAAGACCTTTCGGTCCGTACATCCATGTCCATGGTCAGTCCGTGGAGATGTCGACGGAGCACGGGCTTTTCAGCCAGCTTCATCTGACGATCGGTTGAGGCTTTCTTTGCCATGCAATATTATTGTCGATGTCTACAGCCGCCTTTTCTGATCATTTGACCTCACTCCATTAAGTATAACAACTGCCACGACCTGGCTGCCGCGCTTCCCTCCCCACACACCTTCGATGGGAGAAATTCCGTTCTCATTGAGATCGTCGACCCGTGTCCGTGCTCGGTACGTACCCTTTTGCACCCTTGGAACAAAAAAGAAATCCCTTACCAACCGACCTGACGAATCATTCCAACTCCCTTCCCGTTTCTTTTGGGCTTAGAAGAGGCACCGGTTAGACCTTCTGATCTTGGCAAGGGTTGGGGCTAGGCACGATGCACCCTTTCCCCCGTCCTCCACTTCCTTGGCCCGCTGTCTCTGTTGATTTTGATCTTGGCTCTGCCGACATGACCCCTTTTTTTGATCTCGAGGTACGTGCACTATGTTTGTTTGTTTAACCGAATCCAGAACCTTGTCGGGTTTTTGGTTTTTTTCGCTTTGTTCGTTGGCATTGTTGTTTGCGTTTCCGCGCCCCTGTCGTCCGTCGGCCATAGTTGTTGGCCATGAATAATAATTCAGAATAACGTAAAAATACATGAATGAATATGAGGTTGATATGAGATATGAGCTATGTAGTTGTACATGCACAGGTGGTGTGGCAGTGGATTTATTGAGGATCGAGATTGGGATGAGCTGAAGGGGAAGGAATTTTCGGGTTAATCCACAGAGTGGGGGCGCTTGGGACTGTTGGCAATGATGGGGAAAATAGGAAGAAAAACATGTAATATTGAGTCCGCGGGTGATGAAGAAGGGGTGGTGGCTCCTTTGGGAGGAGGGAAGAAGAGAGCGAGAAGCCGTCATTGGATTCCGTCTACTTGGAAATATGTAACATTGAAGAAAACAAACAAACAAACAAAACAAAACGAAAGTTCATTGCGAGAAAGAAGAGAGAGACGAGCAATTGTGTGCTGAAATTTGCTTCTTTTTCTGTTTTTGTCATTTCGCTTTTTTGTTTGTGATATTTGTAAAAAGCAGATTTGAGTTGACTGTATGTTGGAAGAAGCATTTGAACCCGGAATCTCGATTAGGAAGTGAGAAGTCCCTGAAGAGAATAAATTAGAACAGGGAGAGATGAGAAAAAAAGCGAAAAAGAAATTCAAATGAATAGAGAAATAAATGGGACTCAAATCAGAAAAGACCAGTTGAATGGTGGACGAGAATGTATTTATTCAATTATCAAATTGTCTATAAGAGAATGCAATCGCTCGAATGAATAATAGCAGAATGAGGACCTCACTTGATATTTTTGTGTTATAATTGCGAAATATCAATCAACTATTTCTAATTCTCGAAGAGGGATAAAACTAAGAGTCTTTCCTGTCACTCATCTCTCCTGGGTCCCTCGTTGAGCTCTCCCTTGAAAAACGCGCGCTCTCCCACTTGTCCCTGTCGCCCTCGACAACATCTCTCTAACTTCTCCCTCGGTCGTTTTCCAACGAATCCTACTCTCGCTCTTCACATCCGACCCCCCCCCGCGTCGGCGTCCAACATCCACATCGACAAGCCATACTTGTCAAAAACACCATCTTCGATCTCTCGAGCTTTCCAAAACTCTCCCCCCTTTAGACGTTTCTTCAAAACGGCTACCTCTACCATTTCCTCATCTTCACTTTCATCCACAATCGTCGCTACCACGTCTTCCACTCCTTCAACGCTGTCTGTCGTTACTGGTGCAGGGGCACAAGGTTTAAACACGATGAATACAAAGTCTTCATCCACCGCCGAGCCCATGTTCGTCGGAAGAAGTCTAAATGGAAGGGTAGTTTCTCTGCTCAACGATGACGCTAATAATGCTGCTGTCGTTCATTTGGGCCTAGCCCCGACGGCCGCTAATGGTACTCCTTCGGCTACACCTACATCTGGCGCCCCCCATCACCATCAAGTATCCCCTCAATCACCCTTAAATCATCTCGTTCACTCAGCGATGGGCACTTCGACCACGACGTCTTCTGCGGCAGCTGCCGCAGGACATTTACCTCAATACACTGCCTCTGCGCCTGCACAATCCTCCATTCAACATCAACAACTCCCCTCCCCTGCCACCCCAACCACGAACCAAACTTCCCTTGTTCCACAACCACCACAACCACACGCTTTACCAAATGGAGGAACCGGTCGTGCCACTGCGACCGAGAAGAAGCGTAATCATGTTTGCACGACGTGCTCCAAGGCGTTTACCACCAGTGGACATCTTGCCCGTCACATCCGCGTCCACACGGGCGAAAGGAATCACAAATGCCCTTTCCCAGGTTGTGAAACAAGATGTTCGAGGCAAGATAACTTGCAGCAACAGTGAGTACGACCTTTCCACTTGTGTGTGCGCTTGTACTGGGGCGTTTCTGACCAATGTGTTTTTCTTTATCCCACTTGATCTCAACGACCAATCTCGTGACTACTTCTCTTCCCTGACGATCCATCGACCTACATATCTGCGACCTGGTTTTGCTTCCGTTTACCCACGCATGCCACTCTCCATCAAACCAAAAAAAACTCACTCTCATCCTGACATCCCTATTCCGCGCCAAACGCGTCTGTCTCCGCATCAATCTGTTCATCGATCGTTCTCGTACGAAATACTTGTTCCTCTTCTCTTCCCTTTTCCCTCTTCATTTACCTTTCACCCACGCCCATTTGACTATCGGTCCGGCCCCCATAACCACGTACACACCACCTGGATATTAAATGGGGTGATACCCTTTCCTCTAAAATAGTTTCCGCATTCATCTCTCTCCTCGATCCCGACGAACTTCCCACAACAAACGAGCTCAAATGGCGGTTGCTAATGCCAATGCTGCTGCGGCTGCGGCTGCGAACGCTAATGCTGCGGCAATGTCAGTCGCTAATGTCGCATTAGCAACAACTATGATGAACAATGATGCCAACTTGATGAATCGGGGCGCCAATGGGAGTGTGATTCGTCGTGGCAGAGCAACGACGAAAAGGGATAGGGAGATTTATACCCCTACCCCTCCCGCTAGCCCTGATGGTGCTACGGGGTTGGGTGGTTCGTATGGAACTGGAAGCGCTGGGAATGGGGGGAGTATAACACTTCATCCGGTTTCTGAAAGGGCTGGGGGTGATCCGTATCCGGGACATGGAGCAACATATGGTGCATTGTCTTCTCTTTCATATTCTCATGGTGTTGGTGCCACCACTGCCGCTGGTGTCGGTGTTGGAGTTGCCGTAGGTGGATATGGTGTCCCTATGAGCAATGGGAACGGAATGAATGGGTATGGCGTCTATGGCGGGCAGACGGAGGGGCCTGTGGTATTGTTTTCACCAACAGATTACCCTCAACCTCCCCAACCTCATTCGCATTCACATCCTCATTCAAGAGGAAGTGAGGGCCATAGAGAAGCTGGTAACCCTTCCTCGAGCTACCCTTCTCCTTCGAGTCATTCTGGAACTGGTGCCGGTGGGAACGGTGTGAATGGGACCAGTGGAACTACCGGCGGCGCACACCCTGGAATACATCGTTCTAATTCTTATGCTTCTCATCATTCGAGCACGCATAATTCGCCATATCACTCTGCTGTTAACATTAATTCTGGATCTCACGTAAGTCACTTCATTTTCTACGATTTTCCCTCTTCTTCGATGCGCTGGCTTTGCTTCTCTTTCCGAACCATGGTTGTATCGTCGGTCTGAGGGCAAAGAGCCAGCGGTCACGAGTTATACAAGCGAATCGCCGCTCCATTGAATTGCAATCGAACAAGCGGTTTTACTGACCAACTTCTTCTCTTCGGTTCTTCGGTTCCACTCCCAACAAAAACAACAACAACAACATGCATTGGTCTTGCATCAAATTCCTTTGGTTTTATCCTGTGGGATGGGATTTGAAATTGCTTGTGACCCTGTTGTTTGGTCGCGTTCTGGACTCTGGAATTTTCTTCCGGTAATCTTAATTTTCGCTTGGTCTTGATTCGTTGGTTCGTTGATTGGTTTGGTTTTCTCATCGTTGGTTCTTGGATTGATGACGTATTTCCGAATGTTGGGCGGCGACAATGACCAACTCTTACACTCCCTTACTACGTTGCGAACGATGATCATGGCAAACTGCAACATCTACAACAGCCCAACTCGAATTACGCCTCTTCCACGCATTCTTCACCTGCTGCCAGTGTTAATGGGCAGGATGATCGACATTCTCAGCATTCCGGGCATCACGGTAGTACCCTAAAGTACTACGTGCCTCATCATTCCTCGTACGAGGATTACAGCTCTGTCGTTTCCATACCTATAGGTGCGGCGGCGGGTATGGGGAGTGTTAACTTGTCCAGTGTCCTTCCTTCGTCTGCCGATTCGAGTGGCGCAAGTGGAGCAGCTGCAAGTGGGGCCTATGCGTATCACCTTCCTCCACTTAGCACGTCTGTTTCTACAGCTTCTTTGGGATCGTCGCCTTCTTCGAGTCAATCCTCCATTTCACCTTCAGGTCATGGCCATTCTCATCCTAATGCAAACGCGAGCGGAGCGACCCCATCTTCGTCAAGGGGAGGTCAACATCTGCCACCTATTTCCACCAGTCCGTCTGCTTCGTCTATCCTTTCACCATTATCTGTGTACGATTCTCCTCATCTTCCCTCTTCGGCGACAGCGACTGGAGCGGTGGCTGGTTGTGGTGAGTACAGTGCGGGCTCAGATGTAAACGTCAAGGTAGAGTCGCCTGGGTCTGGCGGCAATTCACCTCATTTGGCCCACCATCATCATCATCATCACCTTTCGCATCATGGTCATGGCCATGGGCATCATCAGGGTGCGAATGCTGCTAGTGGGTATGGGACGCATGGGGATATGGTTGGCATGGGGATGATGGGCGGGATACCTGCTGTTGTTGGTGGGAGTTGGAGGTGAGATTAACGAGCGAAGACAAGGTGCCTCCCTTGCTGCCTCCGCCTCCTTCGAATAGTTGCTTGTCAAGCAGGACATGCCACGCCGAATTGTTGTTTACATGCGCGCACCACCGTTTCCCTCTCACTCCTGTGGTACTCAAAATTGGGCCGTTAATTCATCCCCCTACCCGCTGCCCTATTTGTTCTGCGTTTCATCTCGAATCATCATTGGCTGCCGATGTCAATGTCAACATGATTCTGCCTAGAATTCTTGCTGTTTCTTCGTACATCTGGCCTGAATCCCTTCCGTCATCGTACCTCAACATCGTTCTTGTGCTAATACGTCGCCCGTCCCCTTTTGTATATCTGTATGTTAGACTTCTGCTTTGGGCTGCTGTGCATGCATACATGCATGTCGCCCTCATGGCCTTCCTCCCATAGGCGCACTTAGCAATTTCCGTGCTACTCGATCATGTAGTTTTGCCTCGAGGGTTTGACCACGACCCATCTTCTCCACTGGCCGACCCGTCCTTCCTACGCATCCTCCCTGTTCCCCTCCGACTCGCCTTGCGTCCTCGCTCATGGTGTGTGATATAATTCTGGTTGCATTTTAAATTATTGTATCCTCTTTTGGTTTTTGTTTTCACAACTTTAACATTGTCATTCTTGTCAAGTTTTTTTTTTTATTTCCCTTCGTACAATTGAATGTTTGTGGTTTGTTGTGCCATAATCCAGACTGCCGCACCATCGCTCTCGAATTATCTAAACTTTCGAGTTCTCTGGCGTGTGCATTTGCATTTTATTTTCTTGCGCTTTTTTCCCTTGCGCTTTCTTCTGAAGGCTTTCATGTCCGAATGCGGATATACCGCGGCATTCGCTCTCACTTGAAGCGCTACCTCCTATCATCTCCCATAACTCGATTGTACTCCCTTCCGTGTACCTTGCTATCCTCCTGTCTCCCCTGTCTCTCCCTTTCGACCTTCACATTCAAAAAACAAACGTGACTGGCGCTGTCACCCACTCTTCATCTCACACCAACACCCGTACTTACAATCCACACAACGAACAATCCGCAACCAATGATTCTCAACAAGCATAGTCATCATAATGCCCCGTATATCATCATTCATCAATTTCACCTTACTTTTTTGGCTTCTTTTTTTTCTTCTCTCTCTTGACTTTTTCACTTTTGCTTGCGATGTCTAAGTATTTTTTTTGTAACATCATAATATTTTTTTGGACCTTAGCTTGCTGGGTCGTCTGCGTGTACAGCGGACGTGCTGATACATTCACTGTCTGATATTTGGTTTTTTTTTTTCTTGGAATAATACTATTGGGTAGACGGTGTCTCTTCCGCTGCATGCAACCATTCGATTTGAGCTAAATGAGGAATCAGTGGCCAAATGGGTTGAACCACAACTCACAGCTGCGCTGTTGCGCCTCTAATTTTTGTTTTTCACTTGGTTATGGACCGTTTTCAAATCTTTCACTCATTATCTCGCCCAGCTTTCCTCTTTCCGCGGTACTAGGTACCCACGCCTGGATTCGCCCTGAGAACTACAACTTGTGACGCCTGTATGTCTTCTTTTTTCCCTCGTCCCTCATTCTCCGGATCAGAGCGTACGACTCGAACCCCTTGCCCTGACGATTCTTCTGGACCTTCCAATGCCGCGCGGACCCTTGGAAGACAGCTAATAATATACTTAGGGGTGCCACCCTTAAAAAGCTTGGGCAATCAGGGTTTAATTTCGATCCCAATTGTTGCCGCACATGTGTACGTGTTGCCAAAATGACTGAGCCAGACAAAGAGAGTGTCTATCTCCCGAACGAGGCTCTCTCATGCATCTTCCACAATGATGGACTTGGCTTACTTGAGTTGGGTGTGAATCACCATGGATCGCGATAGGTTGGAGCCCCGCGCGTGGCTGGCAAGGGAACGCCCGTGCCTTAATGTGCTAACTGGTGAAAGAGAAAAGTTTTCTGTGGGGACGGGCCGTGATCGTGTGATAAGCACGACCTCCCTTCCCCTTGCTGCCCAATTCATTCACGACCGTTGCGTCTGGATGACAACACGGCTGACAAAAGCCTCAAGGCGAATCCCGCCTTTCCTCCCTTCTCCCTTACACATTTTACTTCGCAATGCCGATCGTGGTTCTGTAATATGCAGCTGGGTCTCAGAACCAATCGAATATTCAAGAGAGGTTGGGGCATTGAATCTGGGCCTCATTCTCTCTCCCGCGATCGTGGTCGGTAACGTACCCCCAGTCGGCGCTGGTCGCTTCCGTCTCCCCCCCCCCCGAGGATTCCAGCCTTTCTCTTACCACTCCATTACAACATCCACTCACTTTTGCTTCTATCGTTTTAGCTTTATCACACTCAGGTCATGATTTGAACGCGTGTGGTACCCCCCCATCCCCTGTTGCTGTGTGATTAGTTGGTGTGGGCACCGTTACGCGTGCCTGGCGATGCTTTCCCATATATAAATGGTGGCTAAATCACAATCAGCCTGCTTCTATTCACTTAAGCTACGCGCTATCCATGGGTAGATATTGGATATGTGTACCCTAGGATACGCCTTCTCTGGGCTTCTTGTCCTGATTCCATCGGATAGCATGGTGTACTTGAGTCGTGTTGAATGTAAAGAACAGGAATGATTCACCTCATTTTTTGTTCGGACTGCGGGTAAGCAGATTTAGGTCGAACATGCGTATGAAAAAAGTATGCCATGGACAGTGACGGGCCGGCTCGGCCCGTTTATTTTGCGCTACCACATTGCATTGACGTTGCAGACTAGTACCGCCTTGGTATAGTTATCCGCATCACATCAACATCACGTCGTCTTCCTTTCACCCGGAAATGACTTACCCCCTTTTACCGCCACGGCCACCGTGGCCATCAACCATGCTCATGCCTCCGGGTCTTCGCCGTTCTCGCTTGAATCTAGCCCAATCTGGGTTCCCCATTTGGGCCATTTGTCATGCGCTACCCCCATGTTTTCCTCCATCCCCCTAACGTGCAACCATCTATTGATCTGCAGGCAAGGATTTTCATATCGAACACGCAGGAACTTGGGTCTATTCAACCCACAAATGTTACTAGAATTTGATTTCAACTCCAAAACGACGTTCATCCCAATTCAGTGATCCAGCCGTCTCGCTTTTCCACACCAGGACACGAATCAGTGCTTGGTATGATAAGCCAATTTGTTCCACCGGATAGTCCTTCCAGCGGTAGACTGACCTATCGGTGTTGATGTCACATCCAAATAATGGCGCAGAGGATCTGCAGTGTTTCTCTATTCAATCGGCATGAAGCGCAAGTTATATACCCGGCCTAGTCGACCGGAAGCACAATCAACTTGCCAAGCAGGAAGGAATAGCAGACTGGGGCTAATGTGCGGATCATATGACTCACCTATAGACCGACTAGCACGCTCGCTTGCGGTCGTTGGCTTTAATTTGATTCTGATCCTAAACAAGGATGCTGACTGCACGCTTAAGGTTATGCCTATTAACGGCAATAACACAATACTCTGGATGAAGATATAGGGGTTCTGTGCAAGAAAGGAAGCGCATGATTTGTGTCGTGCTGTTACCCGATATACTGAAAAAAAAAAAAGCTGCAGGCGACTTCTAGTGCGATAGCATGAGCACGCATGTACAACAGTTGTTGCACGCAAAAAATAAAAAGCCACGATGCTTCTTGCTGCGCGAAGCATCATAAGCGTCATGGTATTATGATATGACTGGAGTGCTGCGCAAAAACCAGATTGCAACCGTTGCGTGTGTGCCGCACGTCAAGTGGTCCGCATGCGCAGAAATTACCGAAATCGACCACTTGGTTCGAAATTCGAAATAGAATTTAAGCCGAGATTAGGGAAAAGGCCTCGTTGCTTTCGCTCGACTGGTGCAGCGGTGAGGCGTATTCCGTGGAAGATGAAGAATGGCATCATTTGAAACATTCTGGTTTCCTGGATGCGGTGCGAGGAAGCGGTGACTATCAAAGTGGCGTCTCATAGTCATCGAGGTTTGGTTGCGATAAACGTCAACTGAACCTTGCTTGGATCTCACAGCTATGATCAGCACCCATTTTTGGAACGAGGGACGTGTTGACAATGAAGACAATGAATTTCTTCTTGAAGGTTACATAGCACGGCTCGGACCGATTGTGAAGGCAAGAGTCAGCTTCTGCCCGATGGGTGTCACTGCACGCTGGATCGTAGCTACTATATACGCATGGGGAGTCTCGGGCCTCAGAAGCCCTTCTCGCGCAGGTTTAGGTTGGGATTAAAAGCTTTGGGGCCGATGTCACGTCTTTGTGGTAACCTAGTTGCTTTGGAGTTCTGTGAGGGTTTTCGTCCTCATCGAGCGTGACTTCAGAGCTATACCGAGGGGTTGAAGGCGTGGTGTGCGCTAATGGGAATGTCTTCGTGCCAAATCCAGCCACCTCCAGGCAGGGGGATTTTCGAGGAATCCCGTGGGGAACTAATTGCAAGAGATCGGGAGGTGCTGCAGACACGAAACAATGCCGAAGCATTCGTTCTTTCTTCTGTAACACTCCTTTCTTGATAATAGAGCCCACAGATGTTAACCACGAGAATACTGGAACGAGGGGAATCCTAATTCTAGGATTTGTGCGCTGCCCCATTGTTGTTGTGAAGCAACGCAGCAGACTGTCAGCAAACGGAGAACAGGCCAGTATCTTATCTGCAATCGAATGCCGCAATGCGCGCCACCGAATTGCGCCACCGAATTCGCGATGTGTTGCAATCAGGATTCGTTCCCGGTCGGGTTGGCCACGCGTGGTCACTGGTCAGTGTCAGGCCCGGGGCAGAACGGCCTGGCAGGACCCGGCGGCACAAGAAGTGAGCGAGTTTTAAGTTGGCTCCTTGGCAAAAGTAGGGGTTGTTTAACCCTCTATGTTGATGTGTCCGCGGGTCCAAACATGCACGGCAGGCGCCCATGACGCACGATTCAACTTAGTCGCGGTCCCAAAATTTTGGGCCGCCCAGTAAATTCAAATAAGTGGAAAGCTCGCTTCGTGGTTGGGGTCCGTTCGACCGTCAAAATAGGGGGGCCCCAAGCGTAAAAGTAGGACAGGCAACGGGTGGTACAGCCCCAAACAGGAAGATATCGGATCATCCATGTGACGGGGCAGTTAGGCACGCCGGGGTAAGTTCATGCATTTTGATCTCCGAATGAGCCCCAAACAATACGGAAAGCTCAGGTGTCAAGGTGTGGGAGATGACGAGTGGTCACATTAAGTGGTTTGAGGGCCGAAGGTGCACATGCTTGGAGAGTCCTAACTCCGCCATCATGCAACACTTGCGGTTGAAATTATGAAATCGGCAGGATTACTGCCGGTCACGCAAGTTGCTATCACCAAGAACAGTACATGTCATGTTCGGGGCAGTAACGTGCTCGCGGCATTACAGTAACACTTAGCTGTCGCGTGTAGTGCTGCAGGGTGTTGCACTCGCACCCGACCTCAACAAAGTCAATGGCGTGGAGCTCCAAACGACAATATATCGCATTCCAAACCGGGAAACTCACCGTGGCTGGAAATGGTCGCGTTCGGTTTCCACTTGGCAGGCCCACTGGACAGCTGAGGGTTCTCAAACTACCGTACATGCTACAAACAATTGTTTTCAACTCCTTCTGAGAGATTGGTTCGCGTAGGGCAGATGTGACGCCTCCGGAGAGGATAAGAGTAACAAACGGAGGCACACAAGGATCCCGGCGAGAATAGATATGATCAAATGACCGAGATAGTTTTTAAACATTCCAAACATCGCCTAAGATGATGCCTTGGCTACCTGGGCTGAGGTATGACTCCTGATTTTCCGAGCAGTTCCCACAGGACGCAGCGAACCGCAGTTTAGACCCAATGCAGTGTTATCATGGACAGTCCGTTGCTTGATATGTATACAGCTGGTGAGCCACCTTACAGCATGGACCTGTATCTGGGAATCTGATGGAGTTTTCCAGGTAGCCACGCTCGGGTGCGTAATTTAATTAGCCATTATAAGTAAATAGCTCAACAGCCTACGAAAACTACTCCTTCTGAAAGGATTTAAAGACCAGGGTCCCGACACCGGCAAAAGGAGTCGAATGATGGATCCGGGTACGGGGCTGCCGAAGAAATAAAAGGTGAGAAGAAGAAATTACACCTGGTATAATCGTCAAAAGACAGACTGAATACTGAAAATGAGTCCAGACTGTGAGCAATACCAGGATGGAGGGAATTGAAACTCACAATGGAATATTTTTAGGTCAAATCCACTTCCACGGTCTCACCGACCTCTTCATTACTGAACTCTGGCTCCAATTCGGTGTCTTTCGCGATGGGCGTCGGAGGGGGAATCTCGACAGACTTGGGGCCCTTCTCTCCTTCGCCAGCAAGATTCAATTTCATATTCTTTGTGGACTCTATAAGATCCTGTGCATCCTCTTCGTCGTCTTCCTCGGTCGGAGAGACGGTGACTTGGGGAGGAGGGACTTCAGGAGGAAACTTGAATGTTTTGTCCATCGTCCCACTCTTGCGATGGGCTTGATGAGGAGATCTTATCGATGTCTGCGGTTCGTCACTCTGAAGAGGGCTTCGCGGCGGAGGTTTGGGGCTCGAAGTAGATTCCCGTTTGGGAGATAATGCGAGAATGGGGGGGGACTGAGTCTGACCATGGAATTGCTTGTCAGGAACTGGGGGGGATTTAGGTGAGGTTGGGCTCTGGGGAACATTCACAGCAGTAGTCGATGAGGACGAATTTTTTGGACGTGCAAATGAAGCAGAGGAAAGAAATGCCGATGGAGTGGCGCCAAGGTAGAATGAAGATATGGGCACCATCCTGATGAAATGGCGGGTAAGAAATCAATCGGGAGAATAATCGGAAACGTACCGCTTTTCTTGTAAACACGCGACTATCCATTGCGGTTGAACCACAGGAATGCTGAGTTGAAGAGCCTTCTGATACTCAACACCAACACCACCTCTTGAGACCCCACTGGCGTCAGGTATCATTTCTGGGGTGGTGCATACAAAGTGAGTCGTATCAATCTGGATTCTGTCGCTCCACTTTGCTCGCATTTCTTGGAGGGCGAGCTTGGCATTCTCTAATAAGACCCTGTCCTGAACGTTGCCAAAGCAAACAGATATCCCGGACGTGTCATTCATGGAATGCGTTTTCACTTCGACAAGATTGCTCGAAAAATTACCAGCAGTGGTGCGCAGGATCAGTTGGAAAGTGTATGCTGTCTCAACTGAGAGTCCAGAGAGTTTTGTTGAAGTATTCTGAAGTGGGGAAGGAATAGCAGCGAGTCGTTGGCCATTTTTATGTATTTCTAAAGCGCGTAACTTTGCAGTGGCAAGCTCCAATGCTGGCCATTCCAGCGTCACTGATGTCTGCGTGATATTCCGTACCTTAGGCAAAGATCTTAAGTATGGGTGGTCAAAGACTGTGTGTATTGCTCCTACCGCAAGCTGAGGAGCCTTTGGCAATTCTGAGCCGTAGGTACTCAAAATATTCCGTTGTAGGTCCCAAAATTCGGCCCGATGACGTTTTTCTTGGGATATGTTGCGATGAACAGCAATATCAACGATAGATCCAGAAGCTACTCCTGGAGGAAGGAGCAAACTTGGGAATTCAATTAAGTGAGCTCGTTCGCCTATTAAAATCTGGAAGACAGATATTAGTAAATAAGGAATAGCTTCAGAGCGGTCAGATGCGAACCGCCATGCCGGCATCTAAGACAGAGTGTGAAGATCAAAAAACATCTCCAGTGGAATAGCAAGCGTCACTCACCCAACTTGCCAACTGTGAAGGTGAACGAGTCCTGCGTCTCCTCCGACATTTGGGACTTGTTTCGGGACGTACGAATACATCCGGCAACTCCCCTCAGTGAGTGGTCACGTTGGCTAGTCTTTTGAGCCGTAGGTTGTTTCCTATGCTTCTGTGATGATCGGGATTTCGAAAAATGCATATCCTCCGCTGCGAACGGATAGTCAGTTCGCCTTTTGTAATATGTAGTACGCAAACGTTTGCTACGACAGGTGGGTCATCAATTGTATCAATTGCATGCTCGGGCCTTGTTAGATGTTTCCACAATCCATTCTTTAGCTGCCGCAATCCCATGCTCTGAAAATGGTGGTCTGATATTCACAAAAAAACAAAAACTCTAACTCGTAGCGAACTCGGTACGTTTCTTCTAGTTTGCAATTCTTATAGAGGATGAGCTCAATGCGACGTCTCGTTGATATTCTTTTCGGCGAGTAGATGAGGCGTCCCAGCCATCTCCTGATACTCATTCCACAAACAACGTGGAAGTATCAGACGCCTCTATACCAATCACGGAAATTCAGACAGTAGGGGGCGGTGACATAACACCAAACTGCGGAATTAGTCTTTCGAGCGAAACGTTCCACCCATCAGCTTGCGCTGTGTTCCCATTGATCAGGGTCATATAGAACGCGTAACAGGAATCATTCCCGTGCTCGCAGTTGTCGACATGGTCATAATGGATGACAGCCCGAGGCAAGCCTTGCCCGAAGTACACCTCAATCATGCGCAGTGATATGGGGCAGTTTTTCCACTTGATAGTGCGAAGATGGGTCCCATCATCCACGCTCAGACACTGGTGAGACAATTCGTTATACATATCACTCGCGTCATATTCGACATGATTCAATTGGCCCCCTAAGCCCCATACGAATAGCGCGACTGTTGTAAATCCGGAGTTCCATATATGGCAACCCGGTTCAGCAGCCCCACTCGCAGTCCAGATGTAATATAGAAATGAGAGGAAACTGTGGTGCTAAAGCACCCATATTTGTATTATGCAGCAATCCGGAGCTTTCTATGCGCGGCATTTACGCGAGCGCTTAGTCACATCCTCCACATTATCTGTCCCGGATATCTCCGGTGACTTGCCATTTCCAACAGAGACGAATGTCCCTAATAAGGGACAGGAGATTTAGCTCTCCATCTCCTGGGAAAGACCTGACAGCATTGCATGACAGGAGGGTCGCTGAACATGCTTCAGGTGGAATCGCTCGTGGGCAACATGCTATACCAAGATGTGGATGGTGCAATCCAGACTACCTCGAGAACGTACACTCTGGAGTCCAAGGATATACTGTACCTACATGACTGGGAGCCTGTCACGCGTCACGCTGGCCTTGCGGCTCAAATTGGTCCTTTGTCACGCGTCACACTGGGTCTGAGGCTCTGGGTCCCTCGTCACGCTGTGAGTACGGTTTCAAGGTGGCTGTGACATTTTCAATTCGAGCGAGTTTTCAATTTCCAAAAAAGGCAATTATACTTCATGAATTAAAAACGAAAATCGCCATTTGACACTTTTCGGGGATTTTTGCAAGAGGGGAATTTTCGAATGTTCAAATTTAGAAATATATGCTGCCTGCTTATTTTGTTGTGCAGGAAAATGCCGACTCATGTGTCATGCCTCTGGAGGTGTGTCACACCTTGAAGGGCCGCTTGCGGCAGGCTCTCCCTTGTCACGCTCAAACCCAAGGCGGCTCCCGGTCGTGTAGGTACAGTATACCCTGTCATGTTGATCCGTCCGGCCAACTCCGCAACAAGCGGTCATGTGATTATCATGGCCACCTACCTATTGACGAAGCTCGCACGCGGCCACGAAGTACAAACAGCGAAATAGTAGATATTGCTGTAAAGATTCCGGGCACGTTTGGCTCACTAATTCCTTAATTAAATATTCCGATTGAGTGAAGTTAGCATGCAGTTGCTTTGACGTACGCGAATTTCCCACCGTTAGCTTTCGCAGAATCCTAATTACCATTCCCCTAGTAACTTGAGTCATCGAGGCCTTGCACAATTGCAATTATAGGGGAGGGCTTCAGCAAGAAGGGCGGTAAGGGCGAAGTACAATCATTTCGAGGCATAGCAACACTGGGTGTCACTCGGGATCCAAATTCTGCCCATGGCAAGCAGGCGCGCAGAGCTTTGGAAGAACCACGCGGCTATCCAAGAGAACTGTTGTTAATCAATCAATCAACTGTTCCTCCCGATCGACTGTGGTTAGTAGACTGTAGAGGTTTAGAACAGTAGGTATCCCTGTCTTGGTTTCCTGGCCCAATGGTAAGGCGTCTGACTACGAATCAGGAGATTGTCGGTTCGAGCCCGGCGGAGATCAACTTTTTTGACATCTAGTCACCGAATGTATGCTGCACTGCATATTACCATTCTGTTACCCTTCACTGTCAATAGTTCCAACGTTGATGTGAACATATAGCAAAATAAGTTACAACATGGTATCCGGGCTTCCGTGTAGTCTAATGTCTTGCTCTCCAGCGAAGCTAGAAGCAAGCAAGCACAGCGGACACCAGGTTTTGCATCCTCTGCATTTCCTTTGCACATGAAGGGTGGTCGGGTGAAGTGAATTGGTGATCATCAAGTAGATCGAGCATGTCCGCAGCTTCGAGTGCCCGTGCATGTTCGCTCGACACTCGCCTGTGAGGTTGGGACTCCATATTCAACTTCATTCTTGAATAGTATCGCGGGGCACTTGAATCAAATAGGAGTGAGATGGCTGAGGCAGCTGAAGTTAGACTCAGTTTATTCGCTTGCGTGGAGATGGTCGACAATGATTGGAGGATACGACGATTATTCGATGTGACGTATGCTTCGTTGATTTTGTCAAGCATGCTCTCAAATCTGAGAGGCGGATCAGCTAAGAACTCCGGGGCTAGACAAGCACATACGTGAGAGTGACTACCTCTGGAAAGGCCAGACTAGCATCAGATAACAGTGCAAATAACATATCCGTCTCCTTGCTCGATTGGGAGCTGTTCAACATAGAGACAATGAATGTTGTAACGAGGAGAGCATAATCCGCATTAGCAATTCCCAACATGCTGAACGGGACTCGTATGGCTTCATATTCGAAATCATCTCCGCTGACTCCATTTGTGGGACTAAGATCGCACCCAGCGATACGGGCAAGTTCTTTGAACTGACGGTTCGACTTACATGTGGGAAGAAGCGCCAGGAAGAACCCAATAACGGAGTGGTGAACGGGACGACCAGATTGCGGTATGGGCTGAATGAAGCGGGCACCAAACTGTAGCAACGACCGTAGGAGTGCCTCAGCTGATGAAGAAGTCGGGGGGTGGCGCAGTCCTTTGATAATGACCGCGCTCAAGGACAATGAGAATCGACAGTCAGTGCCAATTGAGATGTACCTCTCGATCCGTATCTTCCCACTTTCGAGACTACAAAGGGAACTCTCAAACAGAGAAACAAGATCGGATCGAGCGTAACTCTCGTGACGTCGAAGTGTGCTAATGACGTGTGATAATAATTGCGCAGACTCCATGAATAGAGGGAGGAAACTGATTTTCAGCAAAGCCACGGCGAGCCAAATGAGGGGCGGGAGGCCGCGAGAATTCAAGGGAAGCCCCCCTATGAGTTTATGTATGCATCGTATCATGCTGACCATAGGGGTCATGTCTTTCCCTTTCAACTCTGGTTCATTTAACGCGGCTTTAAGAGCGACAAGAATTTGGTAGAGGAGATCGTCTTCGATTGTAATTGGGCGCAAGATGCCAACTACGACAAAGGCGCGCGCTTGCGTGTATGAGATGAGTTGGAAGGCAGAGAACGTCGCTAAACTCATCCATCGCGCACGCCAAGTATTCTGCAGGCCTAAACACGGAGCGTCAAACTAGAATAAGCCCTACCGAGTGGTGATACTCACCTGACGATGGCGCTCCGATCGTAATGAGCTCGACCAGAGTCCCTGTAACGCTCTCGAGCGACTCAACATCCAACCCATCCGCATGGGGATAGAGAGCGAGCTCTTCGCTTCGCCCAGAGACACGCTTCAAGCCAAAGGAGTGCAATGTTACGTCGTTCGAAGCATGTGTCAAGATCTCCCGCAGACGTTTCAGAGCGTTCGGATCATCAGTCCGAGCAGCACAGAGTGAGTGGATCAGGTTTACGAAGATACCGTAGATGGACGTTCTCATAAGCAATGGGCCATGAGCTGCGAGTAACGTAATGAAATGTGCAAGTTCGGGTACGAACAGTTGGGTTTGAATGGGAGTGCGAGGGTTGTAGAAGGCAATGAGGCAAAGCCGAGTCAGGGCTCCTAATTCATTCCACGGTGAATCATCCAGAGAGAAGGCACTTGCTTTTGCAAGAGTCTGCGCAGAGAGAAGATTAAGAATTATTTACCTCCCCTTCAAAAAACTCTTACCCGGCGAACACGTCCAAGAAGCTTGGCCTTCACGTTGACGGTCCCAATGATGGAGAACACATCAGCGATAGACTCACACGCACGCGTTCCAAAGCCGGCCTCGGCCGCGGCTTTCACGAGCTCGTCTAGGACCAAATTCTGAACTACGGCACCGTCAAGTTTTGCCACTTCCGTCCAAATGCACTGGTGAATTGTCGCAGAGAGCTGGTGGGAAATGTAAGAGGAGGAACGTGCGAAGTGCGCTTCCACTAACCTCCGTGTCACGGATGGTAATATCAATCATCATTCGAATCATAGAGCGAACACCTTCTTCGGAGGCATCGAATAACCCGTCATTGGGGTCACGAAATCTGGATAGATTGCGTATCCAAGGACGGAGAAAGTGCAGACAAATAGACTTCTGCCACCTTGAGGATCGCTCTGTGTCCATTCTAGCACGTTGGACGTCTGCAGGCGGTAATTCCCCTCCATCGAGCTCCTGGTTAGGATGACGTATTTGCATCATGGAGTATTTCTTGAGAATGACCGCAGCCTGCTTCTGGACGACAGGCGATTCATCATAGCCAATTGAGAATTCCTTCATGAAGTCCAAGGTCAAGCCGGGTGCAAATTGCGACAGTTTCTCGCTGAAATGGGTTGCGAAGGCTGTTGGGTTGGAAGGAGTGAAGGAACCTGTCATCCAGGGTCAGAAAAAGGACCATTCCCCGGATCGATCGGGCACACCTCGGCTCACTAACAGGTTGCCGTCATTGTATTTCAATCGGGCAGATGCGGCGTAAATGAGCTCGAAAGCAGCGCAACGCAGGGTGAAGTCTGAATGCGAGACGTTGATGAGCCCAAGGTTTATGAAGATGGCGGAAATGTCTCCTTCCACCACAACACCCCTGGTGAAGCCTGTTCTGCTTGCTCTCGATCGGCCTTTAGCAATCCGGAATGCCTGGAAACACGGATATTGGAGCCCTGAGTTTCCGCCTCGCATATATGACTGCAACCCTCACCCTGATGATATCATCACATGCAGGAGAATCAAGTATGATATAGTCCTCGCCACGTCGAACAATGAACTCATTGTGCTTCTCCCTGCTTGGGCTCTTGAACACATCATCAATGTCCGTGTAATGGATCAAGTCAGTAAGAAGACTTTTAAGGCCAGGATACAGTCGTTGGCTTGTTTTCTGTTGGGGCAGTGAGCAATCGTTACTAGCAGACGAAAAGCGCCTTACTGTCGTGACCCGCACGAAAGTCTGCTCAAAATTCAGGGTTACATGTGTAGGAACCCGTCTTTCATCTAGAAGAATGACACTTGAGAATGGTTCCGGCACCGGCAGATCCGTGCCTGAAGCATGGGATTAGTATCGCGATTACATGGAACAAGTCCCCACTCAACCAGACTCTGATTCTTCTTCGTCCAGAATCTTCAGTGAAGGGTATAGGAGCCGGAATTCCGGTGAGGTCGAAAGGTAGGCCGCAGCGCGGCCTTTGAGTGGAACATCTACACAATGATCCTATGCCATGGGGCAGCAGCATGATACGTGAAATGAATACTTACCTTCAAGCATAAAATGTGCTTTCCTAAGGAAACGTTGAGCGAAGCGATTCGGGTTTACAATCCTAATCTCATCGAGGCGAGAAAGTAGGTCCATTGGAGCGACTTCGAAAAACTCCTTGAACCATGTAAAGGGCATCTCAGATGATGCACAGAAACCAGTGCAATCCAGCAGCAAATTAAATTTGGCCGCACTAGCAGATGTCACGGTCTGGGCGATAATTGTTAGCGTCTCAATAAAGTAAATAATGATCAAGGCATACTCGGAAGATGTGGATAATAAGGACGTGGACATCTATCTTCTCGACGTTAATCCTTCCGAGGCGAAATAAAAAGGTGGTCTCATCCTGAAGATCTCGTTAACGGAAACCTGTCAACAGACTGAATTCGCCAACCGCTGCGGTTTCGTCAAGGTCTAGGAACAAGGGCTCGACATTTCCTGTCCATTTGACGGCATTGCGAAGCAGAAAATTGAGGTATAAATCGTGTTGAGCTGAAGACAAATCAGGCGGAGGGGTGATCTTCGGTGGGGCTCCGATCTCGACGAGAGCTCCACAAAGATTGTCCCAGGCCATCTTGCCTTGCTGATGAGTCACTGCGCCCAATTGATGTATTGGGGAGTCTCTTGATCTGAGGAGATCTTTCCCAATGCTGTCGGCATTCTTCTGCATGAATTTGTGGAGAAGCATATGGTCTGTCTCATCATAAGGCGACCCAATAGTGGCTTGATTATCGAGGTCATTTGTTCCAGGGGTGGGCGACTTCATGGAAAATTCGGTCAGCTGCGTCAGCTAGTCAAGCATACAAACAAACAAACCAAGAGTGCCTTTACGTATTGGGTTACAGGCTCGATATTTTGCGCCAGGAACCTGTTGAATGGAACCATGAATTTCTCCCTACCGAATCGCACGTTATTTGCCAAATTCTGGACAATCTTAGCAACGAAAACGAGTCCTCGTCTGATCTTAGCATTCTGAAACGGCGCGTCCATATCGATCAACCACGGGGACACAACAGCGGGGGAAATAAATCTATATCATTCCGTGAGTATATTTAGTTGCTGCCGAGTGAGTGACTCGCCTTAAAAATACGAAGGCTCCTATTGCTGGAGATATGGCATCTTTTTCCTTCCCCCTTTCCCCTCGTTCCTCACTTGAAATAGATGAGCAGTTGAGAAGAACGCAAAAAAAAAATCATGGTCTTACACCCGGCGTGCAATGTGCTCGCATAACTCCCGGATCATCCTAGAAGGCTACTGTAAACAGACGCTGGAATTGGGGTCTTGGCACCTTACGGAGGGACAATATCCACTGAGCCTACTACAACATTGAGAAATGCTTGTGTGACGATCCGGAGGTTTTCGGCATTTGTCTCGATATCCTCATTGGGTCGTAATTTGTTCGGGTCAACTTCATACGAGTTTGTATCTGCTTGAGAAAGCATTATCTCCAACAACGGCGTCAAAATTCTATGCAAATATTGATAGCCATATTTCCGACAAAATGCGGTCAACAGCAAATTGCGCATGTCATTTCCTCGAAAAAGCGCTTTTTCAGCTAAACAGACACCTGAGTAAACGCAATTACCAGGTCCATGACCTCACCCACGTGCGAGCCCTACTTCTTGATCAATGACGGCCTTCAGCAGATACATCAGCGTTCCGCGGGTGTTGAACACGTTCAAAATGAGCTCGCAGAGCCCTTCATGATCGGGCGAAGGCCACCGCTCCAAAAGGACCGATGCCATTACCAGCTGAAAGTCGAGTGAGGGACCGTTCCGATAGAAGGACCTCAATACTTACATCCGGAGATTTCAGTAACTGTAGCAATGAGCGACTTAGTAACATAGCCTGTGAATAGTTGATAACGACCTGACCTCGCACAGCTTGCTTGTCTTTTCATGTACAGGCTTCGTCATGGGTATCGCAACATCAAAATCTGCACCGTCCTTGAGAGCCTTAGTGAACATGGTAAGGAATAAAGCTCGAACGCGAGCATCTTCATGATAGCTCAAACGGAGACAATGGGCCAATCCTGCCCGCATATTGGCCTGCAAAAGATTATTGATTCCTTGAACTGAGTATTCCCAAAGTCGGGAGTGATCCTGATCCGACATGGGCTTCGAAAGCTGGATGGTGTTAGATGAATGAAACGAAAATAGGGTGAAATCCTACGCACATGGCCACTTGATACACTAGCAGATTCTGGTGCATATTGCGGCTGATATGGAATAGGTGATCCTGAACGCGACGACAAGGGCAAAACTCACATCGTGCTCGCGGGAACTTTGCATCCATCTATCAATGACGGTTGAGAAGAAAGTGAAATACCGATAGAACAAACGTGATTCCATATGAATCGAGTGAAGCGCGTTTGAGCCGTCGACGGCCTCAAGGCGGAGGCCATTGGTGAGAGATACAACGCATTGTAGGCACGCCAGATCAAGGTCATTGATGAGCCTCCCGCTTGCATCAGACACCAAAACGTCCTATTTCGCATGTCAAAGCTTAAAGGTTCGATGGGAACTGGGATGATTGCGTACCGGAAAAGAATGAGAACTCCAACCCGATACAGTGTCCAATATCACGTTCCTCTGATTGTTGTCTTTGCGAAGCGGAAAGTAATCACGTCTCGACGTAACAGCATCGATCAGAACACATAGTTTTGACTTGGCACGCCACCCTTGGTCGTTATTAGAGGCTTGGTGAACAAATCTTACGAGGATATTGAGCGTGGCACCCAGATCCAGTGTCTCAGCAGGGAGGATAGGTTTAGAACCAAACGCATCGGCTCTGTCCACAATGGACTTCAACACTGACATTGCCTAAAATTGATTTATTTTCAGCGCATCGCAAGGGATGGGATTATTAAACAATAGAACTTGCCTGGTCAGCGAAAAGGATGAAAGGCGCATCCCAATCGGGCAGAGTCGCACCGAACGTGTCCTCGATCCGCCTTCAGATAACAAGGAGAGGCGGGCTCAGACGACGCGAACAATAGCCATGAACATAGGCAAACTTACATTCCCAGGAAAGACAAAACATTCGGAAACATATTGGGGCTCAACTCATTTCCCAACGCCTCTTTCGCAAGTTCTCTCAGTTGGACTGACTCTACCGTTAGGAAATCGACCATTTGTCGCAAATAATCTTTGGCAGCATCAGCTACACCACTGTCTAGTAATCTCTGAAGCCGCAACGGCAATGTCTCAGCAACTAAATCATCCAGAGACGATGAATTGGTTTCCGAGATGTCGCTGGACGTGCAACAACCAGCAAAAGATGCAAGGAATAACGTCAGATTGGCCCACTCCTTGCTATCATCCTGAATCTGGGCACAAAAATGTATTGGACCGCTGCGCTCTATTGCAAGGAATTGATACTTACAGTGAATGACGTGGAACTCTGGTTAAGGAACTGGTTGCTGAGATTCGGGTGTGTCAATGAGTGCTGAGTATCGGATGGAATTCGGGCACAACTCTCGAGCAAAATTTGCCATCGACGATATATTTCCATCCAAGCAACCGTGTAGAAAGGAAAGGTGAATGCCAGTTTACGAATGCAAGCACGGATACGTTTTTGACGAGCAAGTCTGCCTAGAAGGGACTAAGTATCTCCTTATGCACCTTGCAACGTAGCTGGGCGACATACCTAGCGCCTGATCTGGCGTTTCATTGAGCTCGAAATATGTATCCGCGCGCTTCCGAGCGTTTTCTTCTGGTATATACATCTTAATAGATGTCATTCCCAAGGCGTCTGCACGCCCAACGACGCCCAACAAGTCGCATGCCAAATTAACAGACCCATCCCGGCCAGAGGCTAGATATAGAATTGCGAGAACTTCAGACGACACTACATCCTCTAACACCCTGAACGGACTATAGGTTTGAGAGCGATTCGTCTGGGGGAAGGCACTCAGATAAGTCAGGCGGGTAAAGAGATAGCAAGTCGCATACATAAAGGAGGAGTTTAGCTGCGATGTACGCATGAATCGATTGAAGATAGATATGGTCATGGCTTGAGAAATCTTCCTCGTCATGAAGATGTTCCATTTTGAACCTTGCTGTCCGTACCCTGATGATGATATGGGCACTTGCAACACGCTACTATCAGCAGCCACTTACTGCCAAGCAGCCATCTGTCGCAATTGCGGAGATAAACCTCCGCTCCTGGAAGCCCTTAGTAGCTCTTCCCCGAATGTTGCTGAGACTTTCATTCCTGACAGCCTCACGGTGGGATGCATATTCGGCCGGATTATATTTGCCAGGGCTTCGGGGAATTCTATGTCTTCAGACTCTGAGCTTTCATGCAAGAGCATCTGGGGATCAAGTCGGATGATGGACATTATACCCAATAGCAAGTGGTCTCGGTCACATAAAGTCGGATCAGTGGACCAAGAGTCATGGACCTCCCGGGACATAGTGGGGTCATTGGATGGGGCGGTGAACCTGAATTGCTTGTTCGGCGTCCTGTGCTCTTGCTTGACAATATTCTGAATGAAATATATCATCAGTTTAAGCACTTCTGAACGTATAGTATGATCGCTGACGATAAACAGCCTCCGTAATCCCCTAGCAAGTGTGTACAAATCACCTATAGCCTCGGGAGAAAACCTTCGGTACTAAAGAAGCATAATGAACAAGAGCTCGAGGCAGAGGTTGTATGTCACACCTCAATGATTAAAGTGAGGATTGCGTCAACTGCGCACAGTTTGACGACGTCCGATTCTGCGACAAGACACTTGGAAAATAGGTCATCTTTCACCGTTGACCCATTGTACCTGTGGATAGCGGCTAACACATCGGTATAGAGAGCCCGATTCGAGACATCATCTCGCTCATGAAACGCCATCGTGCCTTGTTCTTGTGTCGGTCGGAATATCGCCGCCTGGGGGATAAGGGGGCCAGTCAATGACCAAGCGCCCATAACAACAGTTGACACTCACATGCAAGTCGGACGCAAACTCATAGGCATTTGACCGAATCGGAGAACTATCGGGCAGGGAAGCCATCATAGTGTGCGCTTTGCAGAAGATAACATAACAAGCCATAGAAAGTTCTGAGTTCAGGAGAGAGGGGCCAAAAAGTGCCTTTTGCAACATCATGAGGAAGTTCGGCTGACGCTGATTGACTGTGAGTCGACAGTTCGATATCTAAAACATGTAAGGGCATACCTTGGTGTTCTGAGGCTCGTAAGCCTGTTGCGTAAGCTGCCTAAGGCGATCTGGTGCTGTGATTAATAGGGAGGCGAGTGCAGCCCACAACGATGGCTGTTCCTGTGGCAACATGCTCAGCATCATTGAGAAAAGCTTGTCATATAGTCGTTCTGTAGTCCCCTCCATTCTTGCTGGATTAACAATTTGCTCTCTCACTTGGGTGGGGAAGCAGACAGCCCATGTGCAGATTGCAGGGCGCAGACAGAGTGTAGTCGCAACTTTTCCCTTTGGGCCCATGCTCACTAGAAGGGACGAGAGCTCTGCGAGGCGCAAAAATGAGTGACACAGGTGTATCAATTTCATTACAAAATGAATATTTGACAACAAACCTCTCAATATGCTAAAGAGCCGATCGCGATCCAGAGCGCAGACAGCAATCAGCCTGACCTCTGTCATATCCTCCTCCTCACCTTTCACTGAATCCGCGATATCACGAAGCTTGCTATGAATCTTCGCGAAAACCACCGGCCAGTTTGAGGCAGAAAGATAGAATATGGCGCGACATGAATATAAGTGAATTAACCACTCGATCGTGGCAGTCGAATTCGACAGATGGAACGACGTCGCGGTCATTTCGAACGCGGATTGTGGGTATTCATAGGTGTCTCCTTTTTCAACTGAGAGACCCCACTGATGCCGACCAACGGAAAAAGCTGGCACAAGGGGGAACAAGGTACGATAAGTGGCTTGAAAGGATTCCTTTGCACCACGCATGTCAATTGCCCCGAAGTCCGGGAAAGAGCCAGTGCGGGTATGACCTGGTGCTCGGATTTGCTTCGGTTGGAAACGCTTTTGCTGTCGAAGGAATCTGATCATGACAATGAGAATATACTCCGCGACGGGTTCATCGAATGGGGGAGGATCGACCCATGAGTCCTTTACTTGGTCGTGGAAGTTTTTCGCTCTTTTAAGGGTTTCGTCCCGATGGTAAACCCAGTGCCTAGTCATGGCAGTCGTCATGACCTTAAGGACGTGAAGAATAGACAACAGGACATCAAGTGGAATTCCTTCGCGTGGGGGTGGAGAGACAGGCTACGTGATCCGCAAAATCCAATCATCAGAATGAGAGGCAATTTAAATCAAGAGCGTACTTTGAGGATTTTTTGAAGCAATTCGGCCAGGGACCAAACGACGAAGTCTAGCCTGGTTTGTGCAATTTGGACGAGAGCCTCAACAGTCTGTTGCATGGCAGGGTCAACTTCTAGATCCAACAATGAGAGTCCGGAGTTCTGAGGGAGCTAAATAGTGCGTATCACACAACCAAGAAGACTCTCAGATGATCCAAGAGAAGTCGAGATCATAATACACAAACCTGGTTTCGCAAGCGATGGACGATGCTTGCAACCACAGCCTGCTGAGGCGAGTTCATGTCGGCACCATAGCGGAGCGCGTCATGGGCAGAGTTGGGCGAATTTACCTCTTCAGGATCCCCATTTGAGCGGGTGATTGCCGCCATCTGGCGAATCTACACGACGATTCAAGGCTGGCCAGGACCGGGACAGGAAAGTGTTTCAAGAGCGTCTGTAGTTCACCGAGCCTTGTGTCGTAGCAAGGGAAAGCCTTCAGATGGTCATAGCCTGGAAGCAGAAATAGGATATTTGCGCTCCTCAAAACAACAAAGAGTGGCGGAGTTCTCCGGTTCAGGTCCTGGAGACATGTTCAGAATGGGGATTGGACTCATCTCATACCAGCGCATGCATTGTTGACTAATCGAACGTGCCTCGTTGTCATGTCAAGGTGCCGACCTCAGTAGTCCACATACTGAGGCAATTTGAATTTATGACCAAACTGGTGTGTCTTCTGCTCATTTCTTAGTTCTGCGCAAGTGTAGTGACCCCTCATAACAGTAAGCTGTGTGCATGTACAAATGCTGAAGATTCAGAAGTGTCATGGTGTTTCGGTCTGCTTAGCTTCATCATTGGAAGAGAGCTTGCAGTAAACCAAACTATCGGTAAACCATCTGAGATTAATGGCTGCGAGCTGACGCTCGCTTCGATCATTGCCCTCCCGGCCAACCGAGCACAAGCACCCTCAGTGAAACCAGCTAATCTATTTCCGAGTTGGACTTCAACCGCTTTGCACCCCGCTTCTTACAATTTCACCACAAAATAGCCCTCCTGGGCCCATCAATCACACGGCAGATAACGATAGGTGCATACCTGGTGGCAGAGCCTACGTTCATTATTCCCCCCTCGATAGATGACCACTGTGTTCGAACCACCATCTGTAAATGACTGTCCACCAGGAATTGTCTCACGGCTGCTCATCAGATTGAAATTGAGTGTTCGAATTTTTGGGGTGGGCATGAATCCTGCCTAAGTGGGCATAGGAAAGTTGCGCATTTCAGGAAAGCATTCTTTTCTCGAAGACATGTTTGGATGGACCTAGAGTGTTGATGCCCTGCAAATGGCTCACTTCAGGCGTGTGCTGGCGCGGAGATTACCGTGGTTTTATCGACGGCGTTGTTCTCGTATATGTATCTGCCTCGTGGAAGTGTTTGATGACAGTGTTTGGATGCCCAGCCTCAGACTGGGGGACGGCGTGGCCCACGCAACCGCATGTCGTTGTTGAAGTATCATCAGCTTCCCTCAGTTGCATGTCAAACCTGCCTCGAGGTTGCCTCCTTGTCCGGGTTTCCATTTTCCTCCCATGTCTGCACAACAATACAATCTGACGAACGGGTAACGAACCGCACAAACACCTCGCTTTGAGTTCGTGGCTTTTCTCATGGCCCTGGCTCTGTGTTTTATTGTATTGCCGCCTCGCGTTTCTTGCATGCTTTCTCCCTCCCGGGGATGCATAAATATAAGGGACCTTCCTGACCCTCCAAACTTCCCCTCAGATCACATTTGTCTTCGTCGTCGTTCGAAGACCCTAGCTATTCCATCGACTCTGTCGTTTTCCATCGTTCCACTCTCTGTCTATCGACCATGTCGGACGTTCTGGTAGGCATATCTCCCCAATGAACGCCGTGTCGAAGCCGTTGGCCTATCTCTTTCAATACAGACCGGTGACATCGTTTCTGTCAACCTCCCCACCGTCGGCCACCGTGAGGGCCGGGTCATCGGCCAGCATATTGATTATGCAGTATGTTTACTTACTTCCGCCACTCTGTGATTGTCTTCAACTCTCATTTCTTTAGGGTCGCCTGATCGTTCAGGTTCAATTTGAGCCTGGCAATTACTACAATGCTTGGTGGGACGCTTTCACCACTGCATCTCATCTTTCATCTCCTGATATACTCACGGTTAGGGCCCAACTGTTACCCGCGTTCGAAGGACGACTTACATCAATGGTCCGCGGGTTACTCAGCAAGTGATCGAGAGAACCTATTACTAGACGCTGAAATCGTCCAACCCACTCTTATCATCCAATCCTCGATAGCTGTCGCCCCTCGAAACTGCTATCACAATTACCGATTCTAATATATTCCACGTTGATCCCTCTCCCTCAGCAGCTGATCCATGAACCAAGCGATTCTGAGGTACCCAGGACGTTCCACCTCTGTATGCAATCAAGGTGCATCGGGACCTAATATCATGCAAACGGAAACTGCTCAACCTATATTTCTTATGCACCGTAAGGTCTACGTGGCTCTTACGGAGCGTCAGCCGGTACGATGCTCAGCAAAATACATTACTTTCACACTCCCTTGCCCAACAACCACAAACAGAGATCGATTTGCCTGAACTTTCCAACAACTGTAGATACTTGTTTCAATATTCCATGCACATGAGTTAAGTATGTGATCACAATCCTCACGGTTTGCCCTACGAATTCCTGGGAGTGAGATCGAAGCGCCCTGAATTTCCACACTAGCCGATTACGTAGCTATTGAAAGCGGTCGGGCCCGGGCCTCGATCGTACGAAGGGCTACTAGCTCAGCCTCGGGAATGAGACCGGATGGCACAAAGAGCTTCATGTGACAGTGAGATCGGATGATACAGTGAGATAGAATCGCGCTGGAATACGCTCACGGTTTCCAACGAACATCATGAGTCATGCAATGCCAGGATATTGGAGCTAGAACTGATTGGGCATGGAGGTAAGATGTTGGACGGTGACGTTCAATATTAGCTTGCCAAAGCATATTGTAACAGGGCATGATATATGTAGGCCGAGGGCTGCGCAACGTATCATTCTGGCAATACTAGAGTTACAGTATTCCAGCCCCAGGGATGAGTAACCCCAGGGACGTCGAAGATCACTGCCAACAATCAAGAGTTCAGTGGCGTCAGAGACTGGGTTCGGACATTAACACAACTTTTCGAACGTATATTAGACGCATGCTCAATCCCTGCGTGAATTCCGCCAAAATCACATCACCGCTCGAAGCCAAGGCAAAAGTAGGGGCACCCACTCCTGGAATAAACTTTCGTACATACACCAGTGCATGTCGAGCGATAAAATTCTGATTTGGCACATGTAGTTCATAGGGACAGCCACACGCAGGGATAGCCATGGAAGCAGGAAAAGAATGTCTGATTGGCCCCCTTGTTCACGCCAAAAAAAAGAGTGGATGAAAAGGGAGGTACAAAATGTCAAGCAGTCAAGTATACCTGGAATCGCCAGCCAGGTACTCTCAATTGAAATCACGCCACCTCCAGGCGGTAGGCGAGACATTAACAAGAAGCGCCAACATTCATTGGAGACATATTACATATATCAAAAGTGGCTAGATGCCGAGTACTGTGGTAGCTCCCATTAATCGCACTTTTCAGAAATCTTGTATAGGCCGACGAAGTACTTGTAATCAGAGGCAGGATCTAATAAACGAGAAATGAAATTACAGAGTCTCTAAATGAAATGGGAACTCACCAAACGTCTGCGCTTCAAAGGCAATATCATGTTGGCCACGACTGAGATACCATTTGCCATTGCTGTAGCCGCCCTGTGGAATTGGCTCAGCATCCGGAGTGACTTTTCGACATCGGTTGGTAGTAAAACATACCGCAATGCAACTATCCCCATTTGGCTTACGACTACCTTCACACCAGACCTGTTTGTTCGTTTCTGGATCATAATCTGAGGTGTGATAGGAGTTGCTATCGATAGAAATCGTCCATTTCTCGATACGCCATTCAGCATCCGTGAATTGGAGGTACGCATCGTAAGGCACGTTCACAGTGATAGTGTTTTTTACAGAACCATTTGTACCAAGCTTCCTGTTAACGGATACCTTTGTCCAATCAGTATACACGAGATTCTGGCAGGGGGGATTCGGGGGTGGCTTAGGCTGTTCGGAAGGTGGGCAGTAGGATGTAGTGGAAATCAAAGTCGTAGTCAACGTAGATGTGGTCGTGTCGGTGACCGTCTGTGTCGCGGTGGAAAGAGTGGTAAACGTGGTAGTAACTATGGAAGTAATGAAGGACAGCGACGTGGAGACTGAAGTCGTGGTACTGGTCTCTGTGGCCGTAGAAGTCTCTGTTATGGTGCGTGTGATAGGCGGGAATGTTGTGGTCTCCGTGGCGGTAGAAGTGCTTATGCTTGTGACAGTCGATGTGACGGGAGGAGGAATGCTAGTGGTGGTGGATGTCTCCGTGATCGTGATCGGCACATACTGCGTGATAGGCGGAAGCGTGGTCGTGGCGGTGCTCACGCTGACAGTCGTGCTCGTCTCCGTCGTCGTGCTTATATCTGTCTTTGTCGTCGTGCTGGTAGAGATTTCGGTGGTGGTCAATGTGAAGGAAGTCGTCGTCGTAGATGTCTCCGTGCTTGTAACAGGAGGCAAGATCGAGAAGGATGTGCTAGTGACCGTCTCAGTGCTCCTGAGTGTGATAGGCTGCGGCACAGACGTTATGGTAGTAGTCGTAGTGAGAGTGGAGTAGTGGGTTGTCGTGGTTGGAGGAAGAGTGATCGTCAGCGGAGAGGGACAAGCAAACGGATTGGATGTCGTCGAAGTTAAATATGGCGTCTGAATGCTGGGAGGTGTGACGATAAGGACTCAGGATTTGAGCATAGAGAAATGCTGGTGGCACTCACACGATACCATCACGGGTAACAGTGGACGTTGCGATGTAATAAGAAGTTTCAGCCCGTACAGGAGCGGCAGGAGTTGGACGAGGGACGACAAGGGTAGTTTGCCCAGCAACTTGATAGGTAACTGCGATTAAAAAACCGGCAGATAGCAGAATAAGAGTCGAGTGTTCATAAGAGATATTCCGATTAGTCTCACCTGTAGCAATCCCATGACTATTCTGATGCACTCCCACCACTGAGGCACCAGCGACACCAGTAGGATCTGGAAATGGCTAATAATCGGTTAAAACGGAAGCCAAGAGCGTCAAATATTCCAAAGCAGGTGGTTAGTCCCCGCAACAACTTTCTTTACCTAAATCAGTAGGGTTTTGTATCTACTTACTGGGCCGGTTGAAACAAGGTCTACGAACCGGGTGGTCCCAATGACGACTTGAATGTCAGGCTGGCAGCCCAGCTCATCGCATAGACCATTGGTCGTGGCACGGGCTAAGCCTACACATAAAATAACGCGAAGTACTATGGAAAGCATCAGGACTCGTTCTAAGCGAGAACAAGGCGATCAAACTTTATAGGTGTTGTCCCCCTGAGAACGGCAGGGACCGCCAAAAAGTAGCAGGGTTCAAGTCTGACGCCGTGATTGCTTTCGCTGCCGAAACGAGAATTGACACCCGGAGTCGCCTCCCCGAGAATCTTGGCCATAATGCGGAGAAGTGTCGGTACATTGGATTTGAGGGAGATTACGGGTGGTCGCTGTTGTCAAGTCCCTGTAAAGCCACAGTGCATAATATTCGTACTTTTTGTTTGTTTTGTGAGTGCGGGGCCGAGAAACTCCGCCTTGGGTGGGGGGTGCAAAGGCAGGGCCGAACGTGCGTGCGTCTTAGTAATGAAGGACAGTGATATACTAAACTGAGACAGATAATGAGGACAATGTTCGGAGATGTCACCGAGGCATTTGACAGGTTATCGGGGACCGGCAACGTACCGAATGCTTGGTAGTCAAACACCATGGGCTATGAATTACCTTGCTTGCAAGGTCACTTTCCGGGTCCACAATTCGTGGGAATCTTCACTTTCCCATGCCACCGTTCTGTGATCCCATTGGCTACTGCTGTTGTCTCGTGATCACCTCACATGTTTTTAAATGCGGAGTTGTCCGATTCCTCTGTGAGCCCAGCCTTGGCCAGCATGCTAGAGACAACGATCAATCATGATGACCCAGTCTTGCTACTGGGATCCGCAACGGATGTAGGATGTGGACTTGCTGTTTTCGATGACACTCCCAACTGACTGTTATCATTTGTAAAAGTTGAATCATATCATGGCCAGAGCTCCGTGATAATGCTACATAAGCATTGAATGGTGTTAGCTCTCCTGTTGGTGGAGGTGCTAGATCAATGATGGTCTGTCAGATTGTTTGGCCTTGGGTGTCATATCTGTACATACCCGATCCCGATCTGACTCCCGGACCCCCATCATCACCACCTCCGGAGTCCTACCCTACCACTGTCCATTCTGATATTCACCTTCGGTCCTGACACCACACCTCCTCTCACCCCTCATGACACCTCCACTCTTCCGTCCTCCTCCTGCCCTATCTCCGTCCGTTCCGATATTCACCTCGGACCGAACATCACTCCTCTCACTCCTCCTCTTCCTCCTCATGACACCTCCACTCTTCCATCACCCTCCTACCCTTCTCCCATCCGCTCTGATACTCACCTTCGGACCTGACACCTTTCCTCTCCTCCACTCCTCTCTCCTTTCCTCTCTCCTCTCTCTTCCCTCTGACCCTCTTCCACCGACCCTCCACCAAGTTATGACCTTCCGCCGCTGTCCCATACTGTCAGGGGATGTCTCATGGGTCCCCGTGACCCCCCCATGGCCCACAACCTAAAGGGACACAGCCCTGTCCAGGGCACACTGCTGTGGGTAAGAAGGTGAGAAGGAAGCTAACTTCTCACCTTCCCACAGTGGCCCAATATAATCGAAAACTTCCGGAGATATCCGGAAATCACATGAGGCCCGAGACCTGGGGCCTGGGGCATCCAGCTGCACGGAGTGTCCGGCACAGGGCATGCGCAGGGGGTGCAACGGCCAGGTGTGCATGCGGATGCAGGTGCAAGTGCAGGTGCGAGTGCGGGTGCAGGCTAGGTCAGGGTGTATGCCCTGACATGTACCTCGTACTCGGACACCGCTCGTACCTTCGCTCCGAGACTCTGTCATAGCTCTGACCTCGGACTTTGACTCCACCTCGGCTTTAGTCCATTGCATTGGTGACCTCGTACTACGTAAACATCATTGCCAATATTCCTTGGACTTTCAACCCCGCCTCTGTAAGCTCTGTAAGCTCTGTAAGCTCTGTAACCCCCGAGCTCCATGGATCATCTTCGGCACTTTTGCCACCTGTAATGTATCTTTCGGGTTTCCCCCTCATCCTTATTTGGACTGCTGCTTCTTCCCATTCTAGCCAGATAGTCATCATCCCCACTTCCCCTCATCCTCCTGCCCCTCTGGGCTTCACCCTCCCTATCTCCTTTTGGATGTACCACAGGCTCTGCCCTATGACCTTCGGTACCGCTCCGCTTCCACCATCCCTTTGTTCCCGTTCAGACACCTTCATTCCGATTTGGACCCCCTTTGTTTCCCTTGTGCTTTCACCCTCTCCATTATATATCGGCACTTGTACATACTCGTTTTAGGCCCTTAGTCTAAAATCGACCTGAAATGCCCCCTAGAGACTTCCTGCTTGCCGCCTATGAAATTAAGGACCAAATGGACAAACAGCAATGGCACAGCACTCTGCTCGAGTTGCTGAGGCCAAGGTCCCTCCTTGCTAAGTCTCCAGTTCCCCTCCGGAATCGTCTGCCCTCGCCCAGTTCTAACACCCACATGTTTTCAGGTTTCTAACTTCATGTCCTTGTATCTCATTCGTTTCTGAATGGTTTCTCATGTTCTTGGTATCATAAATTTTCATTTATTCCCACCTTTCCAATGGTACTAAAGTTGTATTCTATTTCTTGGTATTCGTTGAGTTAGCAAAAGTTTGTGCACACATTCAGTAATCATGTCTTATCCATCCCCGGCCATCGACTTCCGGTCCCTCCGATCCCTCCGGTCTACCCCCGCTCCTTCCTCACTAACCTCGGAGCTCCCGTATTCCGCAATCCTCTTGGTACTACTCGATGGTCACCACCCCCTCCTTTCAATTTATTACCTACGCCTCCCTAAGTACGGAGCCCCGAAGACTTCCGGACAGCTCCGACGTCCACTAGCACACTCCCGCCTCCGCTGGGCAATACACTCGCCTGCCCTGCAGAGCCCACCTTCGGGCCTATCCCTCCTTTCCGTTTCTGGGTTATCCCCTGCCTTTCCGCTAACCCCGCGACCCGACTCGTCAGTAATATTCAGTCGGCTAATGTTTAACCCCGTTAGCTCCGCTCCGTTCGGCTCCGCCAATTGCGGACCCGTCTTCGCTGTAACCATATATATATCCCGCTTGTACATAGGTTACACTCCAGTAATAAAATCAACTAGAGTTACCCCCTTCAGTTCTGATTGCCAGTCAGTAAGTTAGGGCACGGACGTGTCACTAGGCACAGCGCTGAAGGAGAGAACGAAGGAAGGTCAGTTGGGAGGTTCAAACGAGACCACCACCAAGCTGTTCCCTGGTTCTTTAGTTAGGATGAGGAAGCGTACCAGCGTTACTCATCGTAAACACAGTACCAATCCGAGTGTTTTGGCTAATTCTATTTTTATGGGTTAGTTTTAAAGTTCCTGGGAATTGACTTACAGATAAACCGAGCCCTGCGGAGCTGTTTCTTTATTGAAATTTCTTAATTTGTCTAGGTGTAATTCTGTGTAGCGTTGTTTTAATTTGGATTTAATCTTCTACTTGGTGAAGTTTCAAAGATTCTAATCAGTTAATGGATTTGGATTGTGTCTGGAGTGTCCCTTGAGTTTGTTTTATTTTTGTCTTATTTTATTGCTTGTTTTAACAGTAGCAAAATAACTGTTTTGTGTTTACACTTTGAAATCTGGAGTGTTAACCAGCTCTCCTGTTGAAATATCTACTTAATATTTCTCTCCTTTATTGCTGCCTTTTACTACAGTGGCAATCTTAACTGTATATCTGTCAGGGGACGACTCCCGGGTCCCCATGACCCTCCCCTATGGTCCACAGTCCCAGGTGTAACCAGCCCTGTCCAGGGCACAACCTACTGTGGGTCAGAGATGATATATAAAAGAGAGGCAAGTATATACAACTTGCCTACTGTGGGTCAGAGATGAGAAGGAAGTTAACTTCTCATCTTCCCACAGTGGCCACAATACATCGAAAACTTCCGGAGATATCCGGAAGTCACATGAGACCCGAGACCCGAGGTCCGGGCCATCCGGCCGCACTGAGCATCTGGCACAGGGCGCGCGCGGGGAGTGCAACAGCCGGGTGCAGTCACGGGTGCGGGTGTGAGTGCGGGTGTGGATGCGGTATGGGCTAGGTCAGGGTGTATGCCCTGACAATATCACTTTTTCGCACTGGAGTGACAACCAGAAATGCTTGAGAAAAATAATACTCTATTTTCTTACTTCTCTAAGGGGGGCGAAAAGTCGCAGAAAGGGTCTCCCTTTTATACTCCTTGGGTCGCCTTCCTTTTTCACGCTCTACCTTCTATTTACAGGATTTATTTACAGTGTATTTTTCTCAAACTGAATAAAAATGAAATTTTCATGCTATAGTTCTACTGCGCTTTTGCTGCGCTGAACTGCGGTTCTACTGTGGTCAGACTGCGCCTAGAATTCTTATTGTCCTCCCTCGCCTAAGCTATTTTAATGGTTAATTGGAACTTGGCTGTGCTGCATTTGCCACAGTTACCTATTTCAAATTCCCTATATATACCATTAAATTTGCTATGACTCGATGATTCTGAATTCAAACTTCGTATTACTATGCGTACGGCTGTGCTGAGACCTTCAGCTGATTTATTCCATTTTTATTTAGTGACATTTAGTTAAAATGAGACTGAAATGGTAAATGAGTGAATTATTCAGGTTTAAAACTGAAAGAAAAAGTTGCTAGTAATTAAGAATTACTCAAACGAATGTGTTATAGCTCTCCACCTCATTAGAATATCGTTCCCTAAAATTCCCGCCATGGTCCGTCGTAGTTTAGTGGTTTTCGTGAATTTTGTTCATATTCCCTGATTCCCTTTTGTATTATCATATCCTAATCCTCCATATGTATTGTTCGTTGTTATAGTAGGTCGTCCTTGAAGATTTCATATTTTTATGTATTTTATTTAGGACTCTGGACCTCTTGAAGCTGTTTTCCCGCGCGTTTTCAGGTTTCTAACTTCATGTCCCTATATCTCATTCATTTCTGGATGTTTTCTCACGTTCTTGGTATCATAAATTTTTATTTATTCCCACCTTTCCAATGGTACCAAGGTTGTGTCCTATTTCCTGGTATTCGTTGAGTTAGCAAAAGTTCGCGCGCACATTCGGTAATCACGTGCGTCATTCCCATAGTCGTTCATATGCGGGCGCCGTTTCCGTTTAATTGTTCGGGATTTATGATATGCGTGGGTGTTTATTTCTTTCATATGGGCTTCTGTGATTTATTTCAGATTTTTCCCTCATGATTTAAGGTTGTTTTGCACTTTCCGTGCTTTGTTTTGACCGGGCTCTTCCTTATTTGGACGGAAATTGGTCTTCGCGATCTGCCGAAGTGCGGATCTCGGTTCCGACGGCCGGTTCCCTGCGCATCGCCACCCTCACATGTCATTACACATGATGCGGATTTCTATATTCCCGTCATGGGTATAACTTCACA